GTGGACATTTTGAGCGAACTTTCAATCGAGTGCCATGTGAGTGATATCCGGCAAATCCTCTAAAAGCAGCAGCAGCAGCAGCAACAGCGAGCAGCTGTAACTGGAACTGAAACAAAGTTTGAAGTAAGCGACAAGGGTATGCATCAGCGAAAGGTAAGCTGATTAAGTAGCACACACACACACACATATGCTAAAATAGAGAGAGAGAGACAGATAGCATTAACAAACGGCACACACTAAAGCCATTTTGTTTCACAACTTTTCAACAGCTCTTTTTCAACGGGTTTTTATTGGTGGTTTCCGTGAAAACAAGCTGCTGGCGCCACCTGATATTGGAAATCCAAAAATGTGACCTTATGTGGGAGAATTTATTGAAAATGCAGCTGCAGCTGCTTCTAAGAACCTCTCATGAATGCAGTATGCATATAACGTTGGACTGGCCATCGGCAAGACAATAATTGGGTCACTTTTGATTTTAGCTTTAATTATAGAAAACTCGTGCGAGAGTATTTGGTCATTGCCATGGCAAAGAAATGAGTGCAAGACGAATACAAGGGTAGAATCATGATAAAGCATGGAATGGGACACACATTGCGGGCATGTGAGAGCCAACACTATTACTTGATGTGCACTGACTGGGAGCCCTGTTTGCGCACCATGACATTTGAATAATGCACGGACCGAGTAAAGTAGAATCAGGAGTAGAAGCTACAGGGAAAGGCGATAGACCACCTATTCATTATCGATTGAATCGATGTGCACTGAAAATTAAAAGCTGATGGAAATTTCCTCGAAATCGAAAAAGAGGAAAGCAAAACAATGGGAGAGATTTGATGATGCCACAAGTCAGAGGGAATTCAATAAAAACATTTGAGAAAACGTATTAAAATCACGTTCTTTACAGACTAAAAGGAAAAGAGAGCGGGAGGGCTTGAGAGAGAGAGAGTATTAAGTACCAGGTGGATGCCACCATAAAAAGCGATTTTCTTGGCGTTTGAGGACTTTTGTTTTGTATTTACGCGATGGAGGAATGTAATTGTCAGATTGCCACATTTCCATCCCACTGCCACGCACTATCTACGCCACCCGTCCCATTAGAAGTCAGTGCCGGAAATAACCCCAAGCCCCCCAAACCGCTCTGTCAACAGCTCAACATATCAATCATACGCAATGTGCTGCGTGTTTGGTGCGTGCCCTAATGCCTCCGTTGGTGTGCAGAGGGTGCAGTGGGTACAGTGGGTACAGTGGGTACAGAGGGTACCGAGGGGAGCTCTGTGTACTGTCGAGAGGGGGTACACACCTACGACGCCTGGTCTTATAAATAATTTAGACCGCATATGACTCCCAAATAACAACAAACCAGCACCCCCGACTGCTTTTGACACATTCCCGTTTCCCCCAACACACACAAACATACACACGGCACAAAAAAAAAAACATGTGTCATTAGTAAATTATTATTTAAATTACACTGAAGCAAATATCGAAGAGGATACATACATTGCTCTAATGGAAAAAGAAGATACCGTTCTTCAATCAGGTTCACTTTTGCCAAGAAACGGAGAGAAACTAAGATCTAAAACCCGGAATCGAAGCTCTGTACTTTGTCTACATTTGGCCTGGATCGATATGAAAAACAAACCTTAAGTTTTTCTTACTACGCTACGTAACTACGTTAATATGTACATATAGCTCTTCCATAGAGACCGAAAGACAGAGTCGATGCACTCACCTGAGATTCTCAATGCGCGGCCTTCGGCACTGCGGACGATTGCGTCGATGGCTGCGATCCTTTTTGCAGCGGCAGTCGCAGTGCATAATGCACAGGGCGATGGATGAGACGACCGTTATCACAAAGGGCACCGCAAAAAAATTGATAATCATGGCCACCTGATCGTCGTGACTGTAGGACGTGAGCACTACGGTCTTGTTCTTCCGCGAGTAGAAGCACGGATAAATGGCGCCGTCGGCGCCGTAGTAGTCGTTGAACGTTTTGCACGTGACCGTGGGCGGGTAGCCGCAGCCCTTGATGTTCACTAGCAGAGTGGCCTCCCCGGACTGCTCCCAGTCGGCCGTGTAGTTGCTAAAGTCGGTCATGTTCTCCGGAATGGTTATGTTCTGCTCTATGAACGTCACGTAGATATGCACGCAGCGGTAGAGGTCAGAGGTGCAGCCCTCGCGACAGGAGCTCCAGGAGCAGTTGAAGATGCCCACCAGATCCTCGCGGCGCGTGGTCGTGCAGAGCGTGGGATTATCGATGAAGTCGTGGCTCAGCGTGGAGATGGCGGGGTCCACGTAGAGCGGCACCAGGAAGAGCAGCGAGGCACCGGCGGTCACCGAGAAGAAGGCCAGAGTCGAGGTGCCGTAGAAACGCGCACGTTCCCGCCACGAGCGAAAGCGCCGATTGCCATTTTTCTTTTTTGGAGCCAGTTCTCGGATTTTACGTAACCGTAGCTCTTGTTGTTGCTGCTCGAGTAGTAATTCCGAACTGCCACTCCTCATATTATTGTCCGTGCACACAGGGCGCTGATGTTGCTGATTGTTGCTGCTGCTGCTATCGTCCTTGGCGTCGGCGCTGGCGTTCGCGTCGCAGCAGCAGCTGCTGCAACGGCATCAACGAGTACGTCGTGCTTCTGCTTCTGCTTCTGCTTCGGATGGTCCTGGTTCTGGTTCTGGTTCTCTTCTGGTTCTGGTTCTGGTTCCTCGCGTTGCACTTCAACAGTGTTTATGTGGGTGTTGTGGTGGGTGTGCGACAGAGAGGGGCAGATTGCAGCCAGCGTTGACAGCGGCAGCGTCGTCCTCTGCCTACCTACCGCAACATAGAGAGAAGCAGCGCAGTAAGGATATTGAGGTTATGTACACACGCTTCGGCGCAGAGAGCCAGGCGACATAGAGAGGGTGCACATGAGAGAGATGACAGGCTAGCTAGCTAGCTAGGTAAGGACGAAACAGCTGTTTCGCACGCAGAAAATAGTAAGAGAGAAGCGCCGCTCTGGTTTTCATTGGTTTTTAAATATTGTTCACTCCACTTCCTGGCTGGTTTCCCTCACACAATTTTTGTCATTCAATTGCCGGCCAGTGGATCACTGAACGGAATAAAGCAACAATGTTAGCAACAAAATCACACAGTTCAGATTCGTTATCTATTCGTGGGTGGGGTGGGTTGGTGGCTGACTCTCCCAACAACAGCTGTTGATGTAGGTTAGTTAAGGAGCAAGACCGAGAGCGTGAGTGTAGAGAGCGGGTTGGAAATCGCGAGAGAATCGCTGTCGACGCCACTGTCACTGCCAACGTCAAAGCTGGCGTAGGCGTCAACGCTGTCGCCCCAGTGACTGTGTAACCTTTTTGCTTGTGTGTTGTGGGTGGAATTATTTATGCCACACATTTTAATTTTATTATGGTTAAATGTTTATTTGAATTTCTTCAATTTATTTGCATTTTAACACTACACACAACACGGATATGTATACATTTTGTATATATTTAAATTATAACAGATCTCGCGCTATCCGAATTCTGATCTAACAAACTCTCCCCTAGATGGAACTTCTGCTATTGCCTGCCATGACATCCGTTCACCTTGATGTTCTATTCGGTGTTGTTGGCACTTCGCGTGACTCTGGACGTGGGTCAATTTGGACATTAGCAGCAGTCCCACAGCCCTCTACCTTTGTTTTTCCCCATTTTATGGCCGGGGGTCCGTTCATTTCATTTCATTTCATTCGCTTTTGTCCTGGCACGCATTTCACAATTTTCATCATAGACACAAACACAAACACAGGCACAGACACAGACACACTGGCTTAACTGTTATTGCGGGCCAACTGTTATAGTTGGTATGATTTTATTCTCATAAGCTGTATCTAGGCGTATGTGGGGCTGGCCTGGCCCACGCGGCGAATGAGTAATACACTGATCAGAAGTAAATACATACATATGTACATATGTATCACAGTATGTACATACTATGTGCTCGAGGAAGTGTGACATTTAAACGGTACAAAAGGTAGCAGGCCTTCCACCCACAATACATTAATCAGCTCGAAAACACAAAAGCTCTTCCACCTCCTACATTAACCAGTAATCAACAGCAAAGGCTGTGTCTGGACACTATATAGAGACATATCGGCAACTTCTTGGGCGCCTGCCATTTCTATAAAAATTAAGTCTCAAGCAAAACCCAGCCGCCCACGCCACGCCTTTTGGCTTGCCACGAACAGGACGGACAGGTCCCAGATGGGGAGAGCTAAGGCCCAGAATGAGAATAGAAAACGAAATAGAAATGAAAATAAAACCTTCAGCTCGAGAGTCGAACTAACTTTTGAGAGCTGAAAGAGCTGAGAGCTGCTGCCCTGCAGCCCACGCAGTTTGTTGATTTTGTTGGTAACGTTGTTGCTGCTGCTGCTTGCGGGAGACACTTTCACTTAATTTTTTTAAGTAAGTAAGTAAAAAAAAACTTTCAATTTTTAGAGAAGAGAATGCTTCTGGGACTTTCGTGTTTTGCACGATGCTACGCCGATTACGGCACGATATTTGCCACAGAATTAGAAAATGCCAACAGTGCCATTGGCTCGCGCTGGATTTTCCGCACGCACGCACACACACACACACAAGCACACACAGAGACAGGCAGACGGAATCGACACGAGAAGCGCGCGCGCTTGGCCCTGACGTGCCTCTCGGAGTGTCCAAAACTAATGCCAACAACGACGGCAGAGCTACCACAACAGTCGAGTCCACGAGTCAACGGCGCAACGCCAGCAACGCCAGCGACTGCGATGCCAGCGTTTTGGGGAGCTGCGCAGCCAAGGCACAAATCCCTCCTTATGTCTCTTAACATGGTCGAATTTTTGATAAGGTACGGCCAACTCAGCCTCAGCCATTCGGAAACATGAAAGTATATATGAGCATATATGTAACATATTGTATTCTTGATAATCACTTTCGAAAACATCGTTAATTTTTCTTTTATTTATTTACATACAATTTAAAATGTTGTTAAAGTGTTGAATGTGTAGTTCTATTGAATTGGAATTTAATCAAATATTTGTTCTTAAGATACTCCTCATTAGAGGTCTTTGGTAATGTTTTCGAACAAACGACAACTCCACCAGGATTCCAGGTCGAAGGGCTTGAGGTCTTCCAGCTCTGGGCTACGGGGTTCTATCCAAACAGTCGGCGATGAGGAGGCGAAGATGCTTTCTTTAGGACTATTTGCATTGTTCTCTTTTGCGCTCGAATCACTTGGATTTTCTGCCACTAACATGTTCCAAGAATCATTTATATAGTTTATGATACCATCGGTCTGCGGTGATATCACCTCATTCTCCTTCTGCTTGGTTGATGTAATCCGTTTTGAGAGACGCCGTTGAAAGACCGGACGCGGGATAGTGTTGTTCACATCGATGCTCCCGTTTGTCTCGCTGCTCGCCGTGATCCCTGTGCATTTTTCAATGTTATGTGGCAGACCGCCACGCGCTCTAGCAACGAGCTTGCGGACTTCCTTATGGATTTTGTACATGGTTTGTTATTAGCACGTTACGATCTGAACTAATTTTTTTGTTTTTAGATACATGCTTGCTGGCAATGAATTTTGTAACGAAGTAAGTCATATGGGAATGCTGTGTTTTCTCCATGTGTTCACAACATGTCAATACTCTTGTCAATGATTAAAAACTTGAAGTTGTGAACCAAGTTTTGGGAGGGTGCCACGGACCTTTCCTAGTGAGTTGGAAAATAAATCTGTGGCACCTCCTTGAGTGAATACCTAGTCGTATTTTGGGACGATCTTGACGTAATGGGTTATTGGGCTTACAAATCTTTCTCAGCTTATCTACGGACAGTCGAAAACTGTCTATTTTATATACTTCCATCACCTAAATTTAGAGATCGGTTTTTGTTTGCATAAGTGAAAGTGTTTATGCTTGAACATAATCTGGCAAACAGTTTTGTAACTCTGTAGTTTATACTAAGTTTTGATTCAAATAAACCTAAAACAACTTATTTATTACACAAAACTGACGGAAATTCACAATATCAGTGACGTAACCCACCCCGTCCAGCAGCTTTGTTTGTGTTTTTTGCACATTCTCTTATCCAAACTCTGCTTCAGTGTAGTATGTGGCTCTAGGGAAGGGCGGCGAGCTAAAAGAGCGTGTTGGCGTGAGAAGTGACGTAGAAGTAGATGAGAGATGAAGAATAAATGTAAAATTAAAAAGAACGGCTAAGGTACAGATGAAGTACTGAGTACCGGGTAGAAAAGCTGTGGGGGGGAAGAAGCGTCTCACACGTCCCTTCTCATTTTTCATGACGTTGGCAGATGCCTTTTTGGTTAGCCAGAATGTAAAGCTAACTTTGGTAAGAAAAATATACATATGTATAACAAGAAAACCCGAGAAAATTTTTTAAATGATGTTTTTTAAAAATTATTTATTTTTAATTGGCATCAATAGTTTATGCAAGGATTAGATTATGATTGAATTCACCTACTGTATTGTCTTATGTTCCAAACGGAACTGAATTATTCTGTTGGAGTTGTCGGTCGCTGACCCTCGATTGGAAAACTTAAAGAGGTGTCGGTTATATTTTCTCTTATAGATAGGGTGATAATTATTGAATACTATTGGTCACAATCTACGTGATAGCGATTTGATTTATTGATCCGATCTTGTCTCTAGTATAGATTCGACAAATGAGAAAAAGCTGACAGCATAATGTGCCAACTGCAACGAAGATCATGCTGCTAGTTACAAAGGGTGTAAAGTCTATCAGGATCTTATATCAAAAAAATAGTAAGAGGACGCAACCACCAGAGAAACAGCAAAGATGACAATAATAAAAATGACCATGGTACATATCAATCATTTGCTCCGTTTAATAATTCGACCCAACAACCCAAAGATTTGGGTTTGTTGTACAAGATAAAGAAATGGCTACCTGCTCCGTACTATTTATTAATCAAATCATATCTTGCTAGAAGATGCTTTTACGTGCAGCAGAAAACCGATAATTCATCACTACTTGTCATCAACGCAGGCGTCCCCACAAGGAAGCGTATTGGGACCAATTCTCTACACCCTATATACGGCCGACATGCCAGTTACAAACAACTGCACTGTTGCAACATATGCTGATGATAAAGCCGTTTTAGCCACAAGCAAATCTATAAATGAAGCTTCTGAACTCTTGCAGAGTGAGCTAAGCCTAATTGAAGACTGGTTCCTTCGATGGAAAATTAGAATAAACTCCCTGAAATCCGTCCAAATAACGTTTTCATTAAGACCAGGTAATGGCCCAAATGTTACACTTAACGGCTCACCAATTCCACAAAGTACCTGTGTGAAGTATCTCGGCTTGCATCTCGACCGCAGATTAACATGGAAAAACCACATTAAAGCAAAATGTCAACAACTTAGACTTAAAACACTAAAAATGTCCTGGTTGATAAGTCGAAAATCAGAAACCACTTAAGAAAACAAAATTCGCCTCTACAAATCCATACTGAAGCCTGTTTGGACCTACGCTATACAGCTTTGGGGAACTGCTAGCAACTCAAATATTGAGATACTTCAGCGTTACCAATCAAAAACTTTGCGACACATTGTCAATGCTCCGTTTTACGTATCTAATGCAAACATCCACAAAGATCTCAATATTCCAACGATTAAAGAAGAAATAAAGAAAACTAGTAAAAAATACATCGACAGACTCCACAACCACGAAAATAATTTAGCCTTAAGTCTATTACACAATAGCCTAACAGTAAGAAGACTGAAAAGATACCACATTCTCGATATCCCTGATAGATAAATCCAACAAACTGAAAAGATGTTATATATAATAGCAGGGCTCATTGGAAAACTGCTATTTCTGTTAATTGAATATTAATTATACAATTTACTTATTGTTTAAAAAAACAGATCGTAAATATAAACAGAGAGAAAAAAAAAAAAAATATTCTGTTAAACACTTTTTGTATCTCAGTAGGTTATGGCCTAAATCTAATCTAATCTAAATCTTAGTTTTGATTTAAATAAACCCGAAACAACTCATTTATTTCAATAAAATTTTGAAAATTTTCAATATTATTTCGAAATTTGTGGTAAATTCACAGTGTGTGAAAATTAAATGTTAATTGCATCCAAGGATGCTCTGTCCATAAGTTTGGTGAGTGTTGCGTACGAGCATGAATAAGTCATTTAATGGTTTTCCCACGGATAAACTATTAGCTATTAGTCGTCTTCTAGTATAAATACATATGTTCGCTGTTTTGGTATTCGCTGAATAAAAGAAAGAAATTGGAGGTCGGCAGTTAATAAAGAAAGACTCATATCAGATTGTAAAATTATGGAATCCAAAGATTCAGTAACTAAAAATATGGCGATTTTCTCCAGAAAGCGAAAACAGCCAAATATGGAGAGGACACGGGCAATCGGAAGTCTCTGTGCGGCTATACTTCTGATTGTGCTGGTGACGAGGGTTGACGGAAGTACCCCCAGTCCAAGCCCACCAGACGATCCCCCTCCCCCATATTGGCGCAAAGGCTATTCGGGTGACGGCACCACTCACGAGCAGATGGGGGCGCTTCATTTTGCCGAAGTTGAATACTCAAAGTACGAGCCTTCGTCCAACTACTCCAAGAGAGAGAATATCACTAAACTGTGGGTGGATGTTGTTTTTAAACTTTCGCGAACCTTTTTTGACAAAGTCTTTCCACTTGACCCGACCCTACCAAGAGGTAAGTGGGGAACAATGGCCGTCTCTGGTTTGGTGATTTAGGTTTAATAGTGAACTACTCAATTATTTTATACAGGTTACATAACAGACTTGGGTAAGGATAACATGAGATTGGGTCCAAAAGTTATACGGGACGATTGGGCAGATTGGTTGAACGCATTCTGGCTTATGTGGGCATGGATACTTTTTCTGGTTTTTTTCATTGTACTGTCACCTTTTGCAGGGTGAGTACATCATGGTGTATTATGAGATTACAAAATATATTATTATATTACAAAACCATCAACGATAATTTGCTTTTTTGTGCCTGTAACAGTGTCATGTATTTCTGCTTCTGTTGCCATCGCTGTAAACTGGGATGTCCAGCTTGCCATTCGGGTGAAAATATAAGAAAGACCCTTTTTTGGAGCACCTGCTTGATTCTGTTCCTTCCATTAATCGCGTAGGTTATGGCTGGGTTTTCTCACGACTGCCAATGTATTTCTTCTTTCTTTCTTTTTTTATTCACAGTGGTAGTATGGGACTGGCTTTCCTCTCAAATGGTATGCTCGAACGCGGCCTGGACAACTCTAGGAAGACCCTTGAAATGGGTAGCGTGGACACTTGTAACTTCCTGAAGGATGTCAGCGATCATGTTCATCATTTGTTTGTGAATAATTTTGAGGAGCTGGAGACACATTTGGTCTCTACCATCAAGGGTAAAATCTTATTAAATGTACTTTTCCTCTAGTCTAATGTTCTTTTTCACACTACAGATGCACCTAAGCATATGTTCAAGGACATGAACGAAGTCGCGGAGGGAAATGCTGTCGTTGAACTAACAAGGATTTTGTCGAACTTACCAAACACTCACAGTCAGGGGATTCATTGGATCACAACATTAATGAAATCTATAAATAAAACGTACAATAAACTAAGAATTGGTAAGAGACAAATTATATATGTACATACATATGTATGTATTGTATGCTCCGATTCGTTTTGGTATGTTAACTCCCCCTGCATTTCGTTTTCAGCTCTTCGGGGATTGAAGCGGGACGTTAACCATGCGGCGGTGGTGCTCTGCGGCAATTATGATTGCCTGAAATTTCTGCAGACCTCAGATATTGAGTTTACTGACACTTCCAGGTGCCTTCACATGGACGAGGTAATTCGTAATCAATTATATATACATGCACATAATAGTACATATCAACATCACGGAATCTTTGCAATTACTCTCTAGCTCCCGAGTACGTACTGGATGTATTATGATATCGAGTATTTGGGTCAAGACGTTGACAGACGTCTTAAGTGGATACCCCGTCTTCGTAATATCAGTAAAAAGATAATGGACGAGATGGAACGTGTCTCACCACCGATAGTTCGAGACATACGCAAAGCAAGGATACTGTTTGCTAAGGAGTCAAGGAGAATACAAGAAATAATTGATGTGGTCATCAGTGACATTCACCTCGCCACTATGCGAGCAAGCACGGCGTTCGAGGATCTCTATGACAAATTTAATAAAACACGTTACTTTGTCGTTCTATATATCGCTGCAGCCGTGATTGGGGTGAGTTTACATTGTATTCAATCATGCATATCCATATATAAGGAGACTATCGCATGGTCCTCCAATCCTCACGAAATTCATTATTAGATATTGTGTTTACTGGTAACGGCTTTGATTGTTGGCTTATTGGCAAGACGTCCCACCGGAGCGCGTAATGAATATTTCACCACGAGAATTGCGTCGTACTTGCTGATATTGTGAGTGCTCTGAGATTTTAAATTAGCAACCCTAATTAAGAACACATTGTCCGTGCAGGGCCATTGTTTTGATATTTTGTGCGCTATCTGTCATGCTGGTAGTGGTGCTGTTTTATTTTGTAATTGGTGGTGTTGCGTACAAAGGCGCATGTGCACCGCTAAGGGAAGAGAAGGGAAGTGCGCTTCTCAAACAGCTAGACTCAGCGATCGATCTGCGGACGATCTTTTCTGTCCGCAATTTGGGTGCTGCCAATGTATCAGCACCGCCAATCAGAGTATCGCAAGTGATCAAGGCGTGTGAGGGCGACAACTATTTGTTTAAGTTTCTGCAGGATAACAGGATCTTTGACATTGACGATTTTCTTCGATTGAAATTAATAACCAAAGCAGAAAGGAGTTTCGATAAAAATCTCGATCTATCGAACGATTTTATACTGACCCCGGATGATATTTATTTTTTATCCCTAATGGACCCTCGTAAGTCGGGGACTTATCACGGCAGCCAGTTTACCTCACAGATTTGCAATGGCCTCCAATCATTAAATTTAGATAGCCTGGCGAAAGGACTCAGTGACTTATCAAAGTCGCTAGAATGGACTTTTTATGATTCTGCCGTGGTCGCGTTTGAGAACGCGCAGGTTACTCTCAAGGCAATTAAGACCGCCTACTATCCTACTCTACACAAGGATTTTCGGGATATGCATCGTGCTACCCAATGGGTGGATAAGCGAATTTTATACCAGAACTACAACTTCCAGGATTCCTTTAAGGTTTTGAGAGAAAAAATTAAGGAGATGGAAAATTTTGTACAGACTAAAGGAAAGGTCTACATATCTACGCTTGGCCTAAACCTAAGTTCGGTGATTGAAGAACACATGAATGGATATCTGAGCATGATAGTTCGTGAAGCCCACATAAAGCTCGGACGCTGCAAGCCTCTGACCTACATATACGAACGCGGCCTGGACATGGTTTGCAAACGCATGGTTGACCCCATAGTACGTAATACTTTCGTTGATTTCGGTTTAATCTTCTATACCATTGTAACTCTTTACAGAACGGCTATTGGATAGGTGTGCTAGTGGCGGCGATCCTTCTGATCCCCGTGGCCTGTATAGCTCATCGTCTGCAATGCATTTTTAAGCAACATAGGGTGATTCCGATAAGGGCCGTCAGAGCACGAGCTGTGCGAACAATTCAAGTTCATGTTGATGTTGACGAAGACCCATGTCCCTTCTGCAGTCCAGGATCAAAGAGGCTGCCAGGTGGACATGTTGTCCGCATCGATCAGGACGGTGCAGAAACTCCAATTTCGTGTGCGGTATCCTTAAGCCAGGAAACAGAGAATATCAACGACGCATATAGCAAAAATAAATTAGATTAGAGCTGGAAAAATAAACAAGAAATCTGATACGTATCAAGCAACAGACTTTCCATACTTTCCCCTTCTGTTCTGACCAAAAAGTTGATCTTAATGTTAATGAGTGTGCTGAATTGTTGTATGCCTTATTTTGCAAACAATAAGAAAAGAGTAAGTCTGGAAAACAAGATAATCTTGTGGAGCATTGAATCATCTATCTGATCAATTTATAGTTATAGTGCTGAGAGTCCTAAATAGCTGGTAATATCAAAAGGAATATCAGATTCGAGTAATATGATTTTCATTGGCTTGGTGAAAAAATGTATACGTTGTCACTTAGTAACTACAATAGAATTACACATTTGAAACTACATAACTACATATGTATGTTATTAGCAAGAGCGACACCTGGCGAGTATTTCCATTGCTAGTGGAAGTTGCTGTGTAAACAACTTATGTATGTCAGTGTGAACGTATATTTTTATGGTATGTTTCTGTGGGATTTCTGTGCCCAAATTGAGACGCAAAAATGAGTAGAAAGAGGAGAGAGTATCAGGCACCTGTTTAAAGAATCCGTAATAGTGTATTAGAGAGCGTCTGGCAGGAGAGAATTTTCCTGACCGTTAAGACACAAAAGAGGATTAAGAAAAAATTCTTTAAGACTACGGTATTTTTCGGTTTATTTTTTAAATTTGAAGGATATTTTGGTATATTTTTGAGGGTCTAATGGTGTATTTCATCCATTTTTCCGCGGTCAGACTGCCCCGAGATTCAAAAAACAAGTTTTAAACAAAAAATTCTTTAAGCTAAACGGACGTCGACCGCGGAATGGAAACAACGACTAGGTCGAATTTTGATCGAAACTGGTAAAACTGCGCGCGTCGTCTAACAAAATAACTAATTGTAAAAAACATAATAACTGAACGCAGAAGAAGGCGGCTCTGCTAGGTGCTCTGTGCATGTAGGATTGTACCCCTCGACTTTCCCCACTGTTCTCAAAACATTGTAAAAGGTGTGAGCAAACTCCACTTTTATTTATTGATTTCCCCACCGCGTTGCTCTTTTTTGATCCAGTGAACTCTTTCCGTGGTCTCGTTGCATAATATTGTTGCTGCTGCGTCTTCAGTAGCGCGTTCGCGGTCTCGGTCGTTAATACTCTTAAAGATTGGTGTGACTTTCCAAGAACCTTTCAATGAATATTAGATAGAAAATATATAAACGTGCCAAACGCTCGGAAAAAGTGATGCGGCAGCCTCATACATGTGTATATAATATGCATATGAGTCAGTTGAATCGGAATGTACATAATAATTGAGCACAGCGAATGGAGAACAAATAATACTCAATAAGCGCAGCTTGGCTTCTGCTATAGTTTTCTGATTCTTCGATCTGTGGGTGTGGGTGGTCCGTATACACTGGTTACTATACTATGTGACATAACGGTATTATTGTGGCAAACAGAAAGAACAACCTTCATAGCAAAGAGTGTTGGGAAGGGGAAGTACAGGAAGCAGCGCTGCAGGTTCGCTGTTTTTTCTTGTTCGTTTTCTTTTCCTTCTTTTGCGCTGCTGCTGCTTTTATTTGCTGTTAATGTTTGTATACCCTTCCTTCCGTACGATATAATTACTACAGTGTCGGTTACTGCGCTTTTGATGATCAAAATCGTTGTGGATAAACATTTTTGGCACTCTCTCTACGGCATTGGATCGGTAGAGGATGGGACTTGTGGGTGTAGGGACATGGGGCGGGCGGGTAGCTTTTTTGTTGCTGAGCTTGCTTAATTTATGTGTGTTCCTGTGTGTTTGTGTTTAAATTGCAGATCTTAATCGTAGAACAGCCGCACATAGATACGCCAACGGACTAATACATTAACATTAACATATACTGCCACAACCCTCGTTTTCGTTGTCGTTGTTTTTGCTGCTGCCTTCGTCGCTGCAGCAGAGCAGAGCCAAGTGAGAAGTGAGAGAACAAGTGCGCCGTCATCCCCCCGCGCGTTATTTTGTATTGCTTAAACATGACGTCGTCTGGTTGCCGTGGACTAACAGCGGCTCTGCTGCTGCTCTGCGCCACGTCTGCAGCTATCGCCGACCTGTCGGACAAATTGCGCGATGATTCGGAGCTTTCTCAGGTGAGTCGGAGTCGAGAAGAACAGTCTTCATACAGTACATTAATACTTACATACATATGTTTGTATGTACATAAATAGTACATGCTTTTCGAAAAACTTGTAGGTGAGTAGCAGGTTGGTTCCACTGTCCCCCATTCATCATCACCGTCCTCCAGAACAGCAGTCCGTTGTGTTACTCATGGTTACGTTACTAGTTCTTGGGCACACAAGAGCTGGCACTTTTCGGCAATCTATGCTCAGCCGCTGCCCTTGAACGGAAAAACCTTGACAGCCACCGAGCGAGAGAAGGAGTGAGAAGGAGAGAGAGAGAGAGCCAGAGAGCGGGCAAGCAGGTCGCAATATGAAAAAGAGCCTGCGCAAGAGGGAGACTGCACTACAGCCGCCTGCACAGGTAGAAGCAGCAGCAGCAGCCCCAGCATTCCTAATCTCGTCCTTGACCTTTTCCATTTTCACTTGTATTTTTGTTGGGCTTCCTGCTGCTGTGGAAAATCGATGCTCGTAGCAAAAAAAACTTCTGGCGGAGAGTCTAGTAGGAGTCCAAAATCCATCCTCAGCCACAGCACCATTTGTACATGGCGCACATCATTGGTACATATTTTATATGCATGGCGTAGCTTTCTATTATGTAAACGAGGAAAACTACATAAATGAATGTAAAACCAACCGAGTCAGACCGACCAGCACACAAATGCCAACCGTTGACGTCGACTGAGCAGAACAGTTTTATATTTAGTTTGTCTTTTTACACCTTCACACGCCAACACACACACTGATGCATGGGCAAATAACAAAAAATTCAGAAGCCAACAAAAATAAAATGCGGGATTCAACAGTGGCGATGGAGTGGAGTGTGGATCCTGGTCAGCAGGGGCGAGCACCTGTAATCTTCCCAATGGACAAGATCTGTGGCTGGAAATTCATTCGACAACATATTGCCCTTGAAAGAGCCGTTCTACTCTGCTAAGCATTTAATGGCCGAATATACTTGCTTCTCTACAGGAAAACCATCTTTCAACTGAAAAGAAAGCGTGTGACGGAAAGAGAGGGACAGACAGGCATTGTAAGTGTTGTTGTACCTAGATGTCTGGGAAGTACGGATACGTCTTGAGCCCTCTCCATTCAGCAGTTACTCGATTCCAGAAGCCATAGGCGAAACAGAGCGTACCCATGGTTTGCTCATTATGCTAGAAATTCTCATTACATGGCTTAGCCTAACTAGCTGATGGCTTAGATAATTATATGTATGTATGTACATTGCATGTATTTACATACATATGTATGTATATATGTACATATGTGGGTTAGTATTGTTTTTTGCTGCCTATGGTTTTGTTAGTTTAGTTGGTTTTGCTTGGTAGATCACAGGAATTGGCGGATGGCCATCGGGATCCACATGGAAATCCCCAATAATTTACTCAGTCCGAAGCTTAAACCAGTCGACTGGTCCCTGAAAATTCAAGTTACATTTCCAATGAAATTAATTTACATGCTTCTGAAGATTCCCCGCTGGCGACTATGTGCGGGCGGGGTGACCGCATTGACCCCACACTTCCTGTCGTGCGTTTGTTTCTGTTTTCATCATCAACGTCATCATTATTATCATCATCCTCATCATCATCGTCTTCGTTTTATTAATAATAATTTTTAACCTTTGACTGATGCGCTGCAACTGGAATTGCATTGGACACGAGAATGGGCGAGTGGGGGAGGCCGACTGGGTTGACAACTGCAGACTGCCGGCTGAACCCTGTCTAGGCAGAGGCGGGAATGCAGCATCGGGAATTCAATTAAATTTAATTTAAGATTCAAAGGCGCGCGTGGGGCCGCCACTTGCGGGCCAACATACGATATACGATATGCGATATGCCTCCATTACATCTAAGGCGATGAATGAGAGCCGTGGCTGACCTTAATGGATCCAAAGTAGAGAAAAACACATGCTCGATTCGTAGAGACTGGTTCATTTGAGTGATCCGTAAACGGCCTCGGAGTGATGCCTCCACCCTCCCACAACGATACCAATTAAAAGAGAAATGTGCCTTGGCTCGGGGGTTGAGGCTGCTTTCGCTTTTGCTTTTGTGCTGCTGCAATTATTCCAAAAACTTAACCAAACAAAAGCAGACATATGCATTTATAATTTGTACCAATTAAAATTATTTATACCACATGCACTCCCACTCCTCCCCTATATCTTCTCGGATTTCTGTCCCTTTTCGAAAAACCTAAAGCTCTGCCTCTCTCTCTCTCCATTTCTCTCTGCTGCTCATTAAATTGTATAGCTCCATTAGATGATTAAAGTTGAATTTCCTCAAGTGCCACGCCCCCACTACACCATACACTACACACGCTCCACAGTTGTAGTTGTAGTTGTTTTTTTGGATTAGGAAACAATTAGTAATATTTTGGCTAAAAGTGAAAGAAAACAAACAAGTTTGAACTGTCAGCGGTTCTCTCTCTCTCTCTCTTTCTTTCTTTCTCTCTTTTTCAGAGCACTGCCAAATCCTTCAGGCGTCTTATGCCAGTTAGGGTAAGCTGCAATTACCAAAAAAAAAAAACAAAAAAAAAACTTTAAAATGAAACAAAACAACTCACAAAACAAAACTTTTACTTTGTAACAAAAGGAAACATCATTTTCAACATTCACATGTTTTAAATTTTGTTAATAAATAATCAGGCAGGGGGTAGTACTCCCCTTTTATAGCAGGAGGGGAGTGAGAGTGGGCCATTGGCCACATTGGCTACTTTATTTGCCCCGCCGTCTGGCCATGTCTCTGTCTCGTGCTGTGACTCATGCCCTTGACTCTCAGAGAGATTGGGGGTGCGTCTCTGTCTGTGCACTCCGGGGGTCATTGGCACTCGTGGAAATAAAAATGCGATTTCCAAATCACCCCTTCGCATCTTTTGGAGCGGTTAGGAAACAAGTTTTTCTTTTGCTTGTGTTTGCATAGTAAATGAGATGTCCTCACAGATTAGAGGGGCGCTTATCGCTGACAGGATAATACTCTAACAATTGAAGCAAATTTCGGGCTTACGAAAATAGTCCCCAGAGATATCGGCGTCTGCCATCTGGCTCGACAGACCGGCGGACCGTAACCTTATCGCGATGGTGTGCCAAAAGGGCCGGAAACTCATCCACATTAATTTTCCCTTCATCAAATGCAAAACATTCGAAAAGGAAAATTTATGAATGTAATTGCATCTAATTGACAAATGCTTCCATGATCCCCTGGGGGTGGCTCGCTTTCGGCAAGTGAGATGTGATGATGTCAGATGGATGCTGACAGATGGAGAAATAGCTGCCTGATATGATCTGTCCGCCCAGAGGAAAAGTCTCTTCATCTTCTGTTGATAGTGTTGAGTAAACAATATCACTTTTATAATTTCTCTCCATGATATATATCTCTCTCAGTAGGTAGGGTCCCATTTGAGCATTGACATATGCGACAGCCAATCCCTAATACCCTTATTGCACTCATTCAGCAGAGCACTCTCTCTCGTTTAGATAAGCGAAAACATTTTGAAAGCGAAATAGAGACCTGGCCGGAACCTTCTTGCAGGAACAAAGCTAGCAGCGACTCGAATGACCGTCCTGGAACAGGACAACGGCCCGCTCTAACGTGAACTGGCGACAACTGAGTGAGGGTCTGGTATCGAATTACCTAAAATAAAAATACATACATACATATATACATACGATTATGGTACGAATATATTGTATGTGCGTGTGTTCTGTCGATACCATACCATAGATATGTACATCTATACATATGTGCATCGGGGTATAGGAACAGCGACGGAAAGGGAAAGGGCACAGAGAAAACAGAAAACGTAAAAGGGACAGAATCGGGAACGGACTCTTAAAGGCAAATTGCCATGACTCATGCTGTGCATAGGACCAGAGTCAGGACCTGGACTCACAAACACGAAATTCACACGACCAAGCGAGCGATTTTAAAAAAGGTGCTGTCCTCGACAGGACACGCACCCACACGGTCAAACAGTCAACACACAACAAACACACAGATACACACTAATGGAGCAATATGAATTTACTTGGTACCATACAACTGGCTGAGAATGTGCAGCGGGGCGTGGCGGGAGGTGGTGGTGGTGGTGCTGGTGTTCTGGTGCTATCTGGGAAGCCGCAAAGTGTGCGGTTGCATGTTGTTGCCGCTGCCCAAGTCGATGACGCTGCCCCTGTTGCCAGGCCGGGGCAGGTGGCCAGACTGGGCCTGGGCGTGGGCCTGGTTTAGTCTAGGGTCAGTGGCTGGTATTTGGGGTAGCTGGAAAATGCATTTTCATTTCCCGCTCCTGATAGATAGCGACTCTCTTAATAATATGACACACAATCCACTTATTGAATGAACCGGCAGCCGATTGGGGTGTAGTACAGATATAGAGCAACCCCTTGGCATACAGCTATCCTGGTGGCCATTCTGCTGCTTACGTAATTGGTTCAATAAACCTTTTTGCGTCTGCACAACTTGGCCATGCATAATGTTTCTTTTTCTTTTTATTAGTTTGTTTGACGTTGCCATAGAAATTGCCTAGCATTGAGTCTCGTTTTGCCAAAAGTTTTGCCTCCCAACCAACCAACCAACCAACCACCACCCAACAATCCACCCTCCCATCTACCAACCCACACCCACACCAACACCAACTCCCCACCCAGCAACCACCTCCTGCCACATTTTGTTCGATATACTCGTAATACCATCCGTCATCCATACTAGAGAGAGAAAGTGTAACGAATCGCTCTCCAATTTCCCTTCTCTTTGCAGTTCTACAGCCAAGTGGAGCAGAATCCCATTGCCAATGCAACGCTAACGCTGCGCAGCTGCACCATCTTTGTGCCCACCAATGAAGCCTTCCAGCGCTACAAAGGGAACATCCACGTGCTCTATCATATCTGTAAGTGTGGATAAATCATAAATAATGCGAATGTGAGTTCATTGGGTACATCCCATTATTGCAGCTACGTCGGCATTCAGCAAAGAGCAACTGCCAAAATCTGTGTCATCCGACATGGATGGCAATCCGCCGCTGTATATCACAAAGAATCGCAATGGTGACATCTACGTGAACAATGCACGGATCATTCCCTCGCTGAGCGTGGAGATGACCAATCGAGAGGGCAAGCGACAGGTCAGTGGACTGGACCCCCCTTTATATCAGCGATCAGCACTGAATTCTATCACTTACTTTTGCTTGCAGGTCATGCACATCATTGATGAGGTGCTGCAGCCACTCTCCGTCCAGAAGAATGCTCAGGACAACATCAACAATCCGGACGCGATGCAATTCCTGCAGATGGCCGAACAGCTCGACCTGAACGACTTCCACTTGCGCACCTATCGCTCCCAAGTGACGTTAGCGAAGAAGGAGTCCGTCTACCAGTCGCCTGGAGCTCACACCTTCCTCATTCCAATCGACGAGAGCTTCAAGGTGACGTCCGCCTTCGGCTAATTGAAATTTGCATACAATTTAAATGCAATTTTTCTAATTGCAGCTCTCGGCACGGAGTGGCCTAGTGGATGCCAAGGTCATTGATGGCCATGTGATACCTAACACTGTCATTTTCACTGCCGCCTCGCAGCACGATGATCCCAAGACATCAGCTGCATTCGAGGATCTGCTCAAGGTTACCGTCAGCTTCTTCAAGCAAAAGGATGGAAAGAGTGAGAGCACCACCCAAAACGAAAACAGCTATTGATCTACCGCTAATTCATTTCCATATTCTTCCTATTGCAGTGTACGTAAAGTCCAACACCATTGTTGGAGACGCCAAGCATCATGAGGGCGTGGTTTTGGCCGAAATTGTCAAGGCCAACATTCCAGTGCAAAACGGAGTCGTCCATTTGATCCACCGTCCGCTGATGATCATCGACACGACCGTCACCGATTTCCTAAAGGTAGCACAAAAGCACACACACACACAACTCAAAACTCTAGACAAACACTGCCAACACAAAGATACACAGATACTAAGATACAGAACAAACACATATACCGATATCTTCACTGATAGTGCCTGCGGCTTGTGATAAGGCTTGGCATTTTGATTGGCTCGGCACGCTGGGGGCGGCAAAGAAGATACCAATTAAGTTGCTCGCCACCTGCGCCCCAGCCATTGCTTAATACCTAAACATACCCACACATACACACACACACACACACACACACACACATACACACATACACCACTACATATCTACTAAGTAATCCATTTTACTTTGCACTTCGCCGAGTGGCTGCTGTCAAGGCATTCGTCAATGGAAGTATTTCCAGGGGCCAACATTTCCACAGCGCTCTGCTGAATGCAAAGTCAAACCAAAATCGAACTGCACCCGAAATCCTGACACACATACAGAGAATAGAATAGTCGATACAGAGCCCTAGTTCCCTATAGCAAAACAATTAGCTAACAAAAAGACAAAAACAAAAAACCCAAAGTCTGATTTTACCTAGAACTGAATTTCGGCATATGATCGTTGATCGATGATCCGCTCCGAAAAGAGTTTTGCTCAAAAATGTTATTATTCAGTTCGGTTCCATGTAAAATCAAAAGCAAAATTTTATTTTAAAATAATTTTTTAAAATATAAATTTTATTTTAAAACAATTTTGGGTGTAATGTAAGTATTGCCAAAATCGAAAAACAAAAAAATAATTAGACCTTAACTCAATGTTTTTCACGTGAACTTCTCACTGATATCAAATATTCATATCAGAATTCCTTTTCCTTCAGTCTCATAAGGCAGACGCCAGGCAAGGCGTCCGAATTGGACACAAAATTGTTTACCTTTTAAATTGGCTAACACGGAAATGTATTTACAAATCATTGCGCCTTGCTTAGTCTGACTGGAATCGCAAAAACTTCATTCCATTTATATGGAATGTATCGATTCATATATTGGTCATACATATCGTGTACTCGTGCTCCCCTCGCTTTCAGTCGCCGTCCATAAGATCACTGATCACCGACGACCGATCGCTCGCTCAGCCGGCATGCTTTAGCTGTACTCGTAATTGTTTCTTATATGCATAATCTTGCTCCACATCCGACGTATGGAAGAGCCATCATAGACATCCACATTACAAATAAATATGCAGTTCGTTTTAAAACTGTTATTCTTAAATGGCTTTTGGTACTCTTGGTATGGCCAGGATGTAAATCAAAGTCAGTGTTTTCGATGCTGTGAAGATAGTTACGGAGCGAATGTTTCGGCACTGCCTGGCCTATAGTTTTGAAACGGACTGTACATTTTTGTGCCACTTGAATGGATAAATTAGCGTAGGCATCATCTCGTTATCGTTTCCTAAATTTCCTTTTCTTGGTTCTGTTGCAATTACTCGTAATGTTTCTCTTTTCCCAAATCTATTTACTGATCCCAAATCTATCTGACGAATCTATCTTTTGTTTCTTGCAACATGCCGACTCGACACACTATATATAAAAATACACACATCACATTTCAACCACATATCGCTCAAATATCGAACTGATACTCCGAATATTTAACCAAACACCTATCCGATAACGAATTCAGTCGTTCAAGGTAAAAATTATAACCAAATTCCGTTTTAATATTGAGTTTGCGAGTATTGCTTTGCTTTGATTTGCAATTTTAGTTGTTGCCCTGCTAAACGAATATTCCATTGCATGACTTTCATCCCAGAATGTTATTTGAATGTCATGTGAATAAATAAAGTCCCCCACTTGTGTTGGGCTCTTTAAAAAAAAGGAAAGCTTTATACCTACAATGTATATGCAATTTGGCCTTTACCAGTTGTTTTCCACACCGCACTGTACACAATTGAAAGGAATTAAGTTCGCACTTAGAGTGGCTATACAAAAATGAGAGAGCTCCTTAAATATTCGAATCCAGAAGTTGTTCGTTTGACTTGAGGGGCACACCTACAGTATAGACGGATGGACATGGAATGTGGGCCTTTGAGGTGTATTGAAATGTATTTTATTGTAAAGCTTTGTATGAACTTAAGTGCCTTCCTCATTTACATTTAAGTGTTATATTCGTTGTAAGTGTTGAAAAGTGCACACCAGAAATCGTTAAATCGAAATCGTTAGAAATGTATGTAAATAATGGATCATGCTAATGCTTGCAAACTGCAATATGATGTAGCAACAAGAGAATAAAATCTATGTATTTCCATTGTGCTTCCTTTCAAACGTTCTCCCGTGGCGGAACAACTCTGGCACTCTGCGTGGAACACAATATTTCAAATTTTATTCGAATCTTAAATCAATCAATCAAATCCAAATATCTTTTCTACCACAACTCCGTTCTGTAAACCGATTTAGTTCTTGAACGTAAGTAACTGTGTAACACACACACACATTTCACACCCCGCGCTATAGCACACACACACACACACCAACAACAGCGACAACAGTCGTCAGTGCAGTATCTGTACATTGCTATCAAATTGCCATCCAAATCCAACTCAATCACCGCACAATCAAGTCCACAGTCCCACTAAACAATTTACAAAATATAAAATCAGTTAAAAATATAATCCGATTTACTCTCTATCTCGATATATTTGTAATCATTTGGCATTAACCTCATTGTAAGACCATTTCACCTGAATAATTCCCTGATTGTTGTCTACATTTACAAATTGCTACAAATTGATGTTTAAATGTATGTTCATGTATACCCCCAAAAAAGTACCCAAATTAGCCTGAGCATATTCCAACCCAACCATCTATTCAGCAGTTAATTTTGTTTTTATGTTTAATTCGATGTTTCGTGAACATTGTTTTGTTCATAATTTGAAACAAACTGAATAATATCGTTTTATCTTTTGAAGGAGAATGGCGAGAACGGAGCTCTGAGGAAATTCTACGAGGTTATTATGGACAATGGCGGCGAAGTTCTGGACGATATCACCAATCTTTCTGAGGTCACAATTTTGGCACCCAGCAACGATGCGTGGAATGCATCCTTAATTGAAAATCTTCTAAGGTAAGCAATTTAAACTGAAACGCGGAACCCGGCTCAAAGGGAGTGAATTTGGTTTTGACTCTCAGGAACCGCAAGAAGATGAGGGAAATCCTGAACATGCACATCATTAGGGATCGCCTAAATGTGGATAAGATCAGGCAGAAGAATGCCAACATGGTAAGTGGGCGCAGTGGCTAAGAATCAAGGACAGTTTTAACTTAGATCATCGTATCCACCGACAGATTGCCCAAGTGCCCACCGTCAACAACAACACGTTCCTGTATTTCAACGTAAAGGGCGAGGGTGCCGATGCCGTGATCACCGTCGAGGGCGGTGGTGTCAATGCCACTATTGTACAGGCTGACGTTGCTCAGACCAATGGCTATGTGCACATTATCGATCGTGTTCTGGGTGTTCCACACACCACAGTTCTGGGCAAGCTGGAAACCGATCCCATGATGAGGTATGTCAGTCTTGATTTTCACATCTGAAAAATGTTCGTGACAGAGTATTGTCTACCCACTCACAGTGACACCTACAAGATGGGCCAGTTCTCGCACTTCAACGATCAGCTAAACAACACTCAGCGCCGCTTCACCTACTTTGTGCCCAGGGACAAGGGCTGGCAGAAGACCGAGTTGGATTACCCATCGGCCCACAAGAAGCTCTTCATGCCCGACTTTTCCTACCACGTACGCTGTTCATAAATCTGGCAAGGAAAAAGTCTGAACCTGCATACATTTTTCATTTACAGTCAAAGTCTATTTTGGAACGCCATCTGGCCATTGCGGATCATGTTTTCACCATGAAGGATCTCGTTCAGTACTCGCAGCAGGCCGGCAACGTTGTTCTGCCCACATTCCGCGACTCGCTCCAAATCAGAGTTGAGGAGGAAGCTGGACGTAAGTTATTTGCCAAACCAATGGTAGCCTGGGCAAAACGCTCTGAATGCTTCTGTTTCGATTCATTTCAATCAATACTTGATTTATTCTATTGGTCCTCCTCTCATGCTGCATTACTAACTGAACCTGTTTTTCTATAACTCTCGACCCAAAATTTCTTGCTTGTACTTAACAAAATCTAACCGTTGTCCAAACAAAAGACCTACATGATGAGAATGCTAGTCACGAATGGACTGGTGAGTGCTGCAGTTTGTCAAACCCACATCGCACAGCCCACAAATCTGTCCTGGCCAGAACCATGTACATGCCCACATTAGAAACCCATCGAAAACTACATAGCAACATACAAAATGCATTCGAGTGTGAAAGAGAAATAATTCTAAGTGCGATATATGTTTATTTTGCAGGCTATGTGATAATCTGGAACTACAAGAAGATCAATGTCTATCGGCCCGATGTGGAGTGCACCAATGGAATCATCCATGTCATTGACTATCCGCTTCTGGAGGAGAAAGACGTGGTTGTGAGCGGAGGTAGCTATCTGACAGAATCAAGCATTTGCATCCTTTTGGCCAACCTCATAATGATAACAGTAGCAAAGATCTTGAACTAAACCCATTCAATGTGTAAAAATCGAATCAAATCAAAAGCAAAAGCAAATGCGAACTAAACAGCAACCGCAACACATACCAACCACCACAGCCACCACAGTCGTCTACCAACATCAACCGATCAAACTCAAACCAACATTTAAAATCAGATTAATATGAAATATACATGGATATGTGTATAACCAGGCACTGCATACATACATGCCTACCCATAAGTTACTCGAATTGGAAACAAGCAAATCAAAATTGTATCTGTATTATTTGCGTCACAAGGAACGTCGCAAACCTTCCATCATGCCTCATTGCCCCCATATACAAAACTCAGACACACACGCATGCAGAGTACTACCTGCTAGATTTAAATTTGACAGCTTTCCTCTGAAGATGATCATGATATCATGAGAATGAAGCTGAAGATCTCGAATAGAGACGATGAAACCTTTACTTTTAAGCATTAAACTGGATCCCCCTTCTAAGGCCTTATGTATTATATGAAATATATAACCCATTTAATTTTATGTTCGACATATACTGATAGCTTACGTTCATATCGCTCTACATTCATCAGCTCACTAAGTTTTACATTTAACCTACATGCATACATATGTCTGTGTATGTATGCATATCTCTACGTATTGATATGAATCATTGAATCTGATTGTGTTTATGATTTTAAGTGTACATTTTTTTGTGAATTGCTTGTTTTAGTTAATGGTCTAATTTATGATTTAAAAAGTGAGTTATCCTAAGTAGAATGTGAGAATCCCATTTATGTACAAGACATATGTAAATATGTTAACGCAGAAGCAATAAGCACATCACACACTCTCATATTCGTAAACATACACACAAACATCCATACAAACATACACATACACATACACTTAATACAAAAACATTGTAAAATTCGATCAAGTGTGAAAGATGTTTTATAATAAACTGAAAGTTTCTTCATTTGAACATTCGATGGTACTCGTACGAAATGAAATTTTAAGCTGTAAGCCCAGCAGCATATCCTTGTCTCTAAATCGAATTGAAATGTGCGAGGCATTCAAACAAACTATAACCGAACGAACAACAAATTCAATTAAATGAAATGACATCATGCACTTAGTTGTTAGTCCTGCTATGCATGTAAACCCCACAACAGAACACACGCCACACCCCACAGACAGACACCGACATCCGAATGCAGACATGGAGCAAAGATAGCAACTGCAATTTAGGGTAATCGAATGCGAACATGCTTCTAAACTGCTGTCAACTACGAAATACTACAATACATACTCCAACACACAGTATCCTGTATCCTCTGCGATAAAAATGCAACAGAACACGACATCTACTCACTGAATGGATTTTTATATAAATTTTAACCAAAATACATTTTGTATGTACAATATAAATACGAATACAAAAAACACTATGTATTTGTGACAAACATATTTGACAATGATGTGAACATAAAACAGAAACTAAATTCTTCTCCTCCCTGCTGCAGCTGCAATTGCATTTTAACCTTTGTATGTAGCTGTCATGTAAAATTTAAAAAAGAAAAACAAGAAACACAAGAACTTAGTTTATAGTCTGATTTAGAACAACCCGATGCTAACTATACAAACTCTCTTTCTATTTCTCTCTGTCTCTCCCCGATAATACCATGTATTTATAGGTTAGACATTGTAACTAGCGTGTGTGTCCTAACCTACCAAACTACACAAAATGAGCGCTAAAAATTGAACTGTACTACTCCTCCTTCTATGTAAACCCCCCAAGAGAAAAACGCATTAACTATCAGCCTACCTAGCAGTACACACACTCCACTCCTACTATCAACAAGAAAAACCACACAAAACCACCCACAAACATATGTATTATCGATACTGTAGCGAAACTCTCAACTTAAGTTGTCGCAGTTGCTTTGAGTAGTTGCTAATTCCCGATCTGATCGGATACCCCAGTTCCAGAAATATTTATCTTTAGTAGGCGGCGGGGTCGTCGCTGCATTGTATTGTATTGCATATTAGTTTGGTTTTGGCCAGTACTGCACTGACAGTAGCAGCTAACCGAAAATGTATGTAGTGAAAATGATGAATACGCTAAATGAAAAGCTTTAAAGAGTGGTGCAGATGGGAGCAAAGGACGGATTTGTGAAGGGAAACGCATTGCAATTGCAATTAGTGTGTCGTAGTCAGTAGTTACACGTTGGCCAGCGCCCTAACGTGTGACTAGTGCCTTACTAAAGATAAACGCATTACCTTAACCTTTATACAAATTTACTCGAATTAAATGTATGAAATTAAATGAATTATTACTTCTAACAACTAACAAAGAGTGCAAAATGGCGAACAACAAGAGCGAAGCTGCATTGATTTGCGAGCTACACACAATACAATAAATACAACACACAATACAACCACGGGCCACTTGTAAAAGTAGGGGCAAATGCATTATATGAAACACATGGAAGTGTACGAGATTATTTTAAAGTTCTGCTTCAACATACAGACATACACACGTATACGTATGTATACCATAAAACATATGCATACATACTACAGAAATGATATTCAGCCACGCCACACCACACGCTATTTACACCAAATACAAACAATACAGATCAAGTAAAATCGTATTTTTCATATATTTGTCAGAATAATACTATAACGTAAATGTAGTTTATCACGATTGGGTGATAAATCTCCAAGGAAACCTAAATCCGTGTATCAATGTATATTTAGTAATTGAGTTTTGAATCAAGCGTTAGCCACGAGAATATATCAGAGTACGATTATATATATATACATACATACATATATATATATATATATAGATACGTATATAAAAACCAAGCTTCTAAACTATGAAAAACCGCAGTGCAAAAGAATATTATTCCATTTTATTTTATGACAAACGCTTTTTACAAATAAACCAAAACCATTCCAATCGTAAAGGAACAGGATTATACCTAGCATTAGTTAAACTAATTAATACATGTATTAGTAAACAGAATGTCAACCTCTACAGCATGCTTGAGCGAATAATAAAATTATAAAAATACATATATGACTAAACCCACGAATTTTGTTTAACTTAAATAATTTGATTTTAAAATTCAAACTTCTGTTTGAAATGGTTTAACTCGCGCCAATGGGGGTGTTTTTTAATGCATAAAGTGGAAGTCTTGGGAACTAGTTCGCAGCTGAACCTTCTGGAAATGGAAATGACAACTATTGTGAGATGGGATTAATTAATATAGCCGTACCAAATTTATTTTAAAACGCTGAGATTCGAAAACGGAACTACAAATCTTGTATATGTGGCTATTAGCAAAATAAATTTATTTTAGCCCCGATATTCGTTCCACTTATCGCACAGAAATACCCATATTTAACCAACTGGCGTATCGATAGCTTACAAAAAAATAAAAATAGTGTCGATTTGCTCAGAATTCAGAAAATATATTCCGTTCATGATATGTATATGTTCAGTACAAAATTGTGCCTCCTGCATAAATAATATCAACAAATAATATATATCGATATTTTTATATTAACATCCCTAATAGAAACAAAAAATGCAAGATGCAGGCAATCTAATTGGAAAAAACACCTAAAATACAAGTTAAACACTAAACAGGACATATTACGTGGATAAACGAATATACGCCGTGGTATTCGTTGCGGTTGATGTCGGTTGTTCGCTGATTCCGGGTGTTGACAAGGTTTTTACCTTAACAGCGCTATGAAGAAGCGGAGTTCACGTTGCAATTCGGAGGCGTTTAAGGAGCAGCAAATGGACAGTGACGACATCAGCCTGCTCCAGCGACCATTGCGCACGGCCCACACTGGCTTCGAGGAGGCGCGTCGAGCCTACGAGGATGGAACCAACGAGGTAAGCATCGCTTACGCATAAGGCTGTCTACGTGACTCAGCCTAGGGCAGCAATGGCCGCAAACATTCCTTTGTATCGAATTCCGTGTGTTTATATTATGTATCTGATATTGGTATTGGATATCTGCAGGTGCGCCAGCTGCTCAGCCTGGAGTGCAGTCTCATATACGAGTGCAAAGTGTGCCGAAACATGTTCCGAAGTCTTGCGAATTTCATCAGCCACAAGCGGGTCTTCTGCTGTGTGAGTGCCCGCACAGCCCAGCAGAATGGATACACAGTGAGTGCGCAGTAAAGACAATATCGAATTACCATATTTCTGTGTGCAATCGTTTGAATCAACATTGAATTCGCTTACAGGACCAGAACTCCACTATGATCATACAAACGGGCAACGGGCCGTCGCCTCAGGATATTGAGCATATGTTGCGCAGTCGTAGCACTGGCTGCTCGCCAGTTCCCCGCGAGGTTCGTCCCATTCGTGGCAGTATACGGGACCTGAGTGGCGTTATCGAGCGTCTGCGACGGGAGAAGGCGCCCTCATCCATGCAAAACACTCCCACGGTGCTGAAGCTGGAGTCGGTGCCGACCTCCAGTCAGGCCGTGTATCAAACTATTAAAATCGACCAGGATGACAGCATGCGAACCGAATTAAACGAAGTACACCATATGCTGAATCCCGCAAACACCGTTGTTGGCCCAGATGGCAAGGCAATGACTAAAATCAAATTCGAGCGCCGAGGCGGCAGTGACTCGGGCGAAACGGCCGAGCAATCCATCAGCGATGACACGGAAGCGAACATATTTTGCGAGACATGTGAGGCAATCCATCCATAGATCCGAGTATGCTGTGGAACTAATTTTCGGCTTGTGTTTTACATGTTTTCTTTGGCAGGCAACCTAACATTTCAAACTCACAAAACACTGCACCTGCACATACAAAAGAATCATTCGTCGTCGACGTTTGTGTTTCAGTGTCCAGCCTGCTCGGAAACCTTTCTACAGGCCGCAGCAGTTATACGGCATTTGTCCAAAGAACACAAGTAAGTACAGCGTAGTCAAAGGGGATAAACATAAACTAATAAGTCAGTCAATGGCAGACGAGTGCCATTTAAAATTCTGTAAGAGAGTCAATTTTAATTTGGTTTTTAAATTTACTTCGCAGGAAACCAAGGCCACGCATTCGAATGATGCGTAGCACCATCCTCAAGCGTCGCATCAAACAAGGAGATATTCAGCCCAAAGGGCCCTCACGCGAGTTGAAGCGCCTGCAGATGTCCGACGATGTGGTTGGCTATCCTTCAGAGCCAGTAGATGCGAATGGTGAGCAGCGTAAAATAATGTCACTGTGCTATTACTGCGAGAAGTCATTCGAGCGACGCGCCGCCTTGTCCACTCACCTGCTCAACTGTCGGGCCAAGCAGGAGGCGCTGGCGAAGCCGGCTCCTGGAGCCAAGAAGCTGAAAACAAATGAAAGTGTGAGCAATGCCTCCAGTTTTGATGGAGCTGATGCAGAGGATCCACCGGCTGGCGATGTAGATCTGTCGAGCCTCGGCCGCACCATTAAGCAGGAACCTGACGCCGACTCGACTGCTCTGAACGAAATGTTCGCCGACCTGGCGGAAAAGAATGAATCTTTCGTAACTGGGCTGCACACAGTCTCACTGGACAAGCTCCAGCTGCGGCACGAAACTGACTCGGCCAGCGTCGCTTCTAGCAGTACCAACAACAGTGAGGAGTCGCTCGCCCAAGAGTCCAATCCCGATGAGAGCAAAACCAAGGTGAAGAAGAAGCGCAGTGTGCCTATTGAGAAGCAACTGCGTTGCCGCTGCAAGCTGTGCAACAAGGAGTTTAATGCCCTGGGCAACCTGCGTCGACATATTTCAATGTTCCATTACCGGAAGTCACGCTTCGGCTGCAATGTGTGCAACTATCGCGCCTTTCGTCGCTACGACATTGTCAACCATCTGGGTTTCGTGCACAAGATTGAAGGCGATCGCGATCAGCTAACCGAGCAGTACGTGTCGACTCAAGCCTGTGAGTACTCGCGCGAAGATGTGGATGCAGACATAATTTTGGTGGATGAGGTGGAGGAAGCGAGACAAAGCCAGCCAATAAAGGAATTGGAGATCAAGCCACCGATCAAGACATACGAGAAACGCATGAAGCGTGCTAAGACGACGGAGCCAGTGGCGGAGGCAAATGTCATATTACCTTCGACTGCGATAAAAAAGGAACCCGACCTGGAAGTGGCCGAGCCCGTGACAAGCAAGAAGCACCGCAAATCGCGCATTCAGTTATCGCCAGAGTCTGGCGAGCAGAATACGGAGAAGCGTCCCACACGCAAACGTGTCAAGGCGGTCAACAAAGACTTTGTGTACGATATGGTACGTTCGAAGCAAGAAGGCTCCGCCACATACACAGCACCAGCACCCTTGGCCATCGAGTCCATGCGCGCCAAGCTGCGTCGCCATGTGGGCAACGACGAGAACAAACCCAAGCAATGGGAGGCCTACATAACAGAGGCCAAGAAGCCACTGGTTCAAGGTATCACACGTCGCATAATGCTGGAGCTTGTCAGCCAAGGACGCGCCGTGTCTGCCACGCTCCCAGAGCTGCCATCCGAGCGGCCGCAGATACGACCGCGTCTTATTTCTCACACACGCAGCGAAAGTCAGCAGCAGCAGCATGTGGTGGAGCCCGAGAGTTTTATCGAGAAGATTGCAAAGCGAACGGCAGCCGCTGGCAAGGATACCGCCGTCATAAGTAACCTGTGGAACAAGGTCAACACAGCGATGGCCCAGCAGCAAGGGTTGTCCTTGCCCAAGAAAGAGGAATCTGAAGAGAGTCCACTGGAGATGACGCCGCCCAATAGCAAATTGAGTGCGTTGGTGTCACCACCGTCGCCACCTCGCAAGAGCCAGGAAACCGTTGACTCAGTTGAGACACCCACACAGCCTACACCGACATCAATGCCCCGGCCACCGCCATTTCAGTCATCCGCTGGAATGGAGTGCCTGAGCAGCAACGGCAGTCAAGCGTCCAAATTTCCGGCATTACCCAAGCCGCCATCCGTTCTACAGGCAGCTGCCAATGGCACCATCCAGCTCACATTGGATAGTCTCCTTCGCGCTGCCCTGCAGAACTAAACTAAATCAGAAATGGAAGAACAACCGGAAATGAAAACCGCTCTCGCTGTTTTCCACTGCTCCACTGTTCCACTGAATTTCCCTTCCCTCATTCTGTACGATTTTTTCAACTTTCCATTTTTCCCAATGTCCCAAGTCTCATTTAACGTTTAAATACATACATGTAATCCACTGGTGTCCTTATTATATAGAAGCAAGTAAGCATGTAAGAAAGTAAGGAAGTAAGAAACAAAACAAAAAAGTATCCCTAGATGGTAGATCGCTTAGAGTATTATGCTATGGAACAACCAAAACATATGGAAAATTATAGTATAATTTTGCAGATATTAGAGAATGTTTGTTGTTTGTCTGTATGGCAAGAGTACAGAATTTGTAAAATGTTATAGTTATAACCTTATATGTATGTACCTAATTTTATAGAAAACTGCTAGACCCCTTAAAGTAAGGGACCACAATTTTATATATAATGAGTGTGTACTGTACATATGTATGTGTGTTTGTTTTGTATGTACAACAGGCTGCCTGTCCGCCTGCAACATTAATTGTACGATATCTACCGTATGCTAAAACCAAAATTCACTGTGTATACATCCTATGAGGATACTCGAGGAGGATGGGTAGGAGCAACATCTTGCCATCTAACATACAAATCCATCTCGCCTCGTAACCAAATTAGCATTAATATGTATATCCAAGAACATCACCCTGAGTCGGAGGTGCCGGCATGACGTCTCTTCATTTTGATGCTGCATAAATTTGTTACTCAAATTGTTAATTACAAACTAAGCGAAAGTTAAAGAAAACGTTGTTTGAGGCAATCTGTTGTTCATCTACATATAAAACTCTTTTAAATACAGTCGAACTTCTTTGAGACGAACCCATCTGTCACGCCCCAAACATGCATGTCATTTTCGAAGCGACAAGCTCAAACAAATCCATTAATTATACTGTATAAATCGGTTATATGATAAATTTTAAACATTCTATGACACATTGTTGTCTTCATTTTAAAGTCCCAGTTTAAATTTTCATTTGCAGTTTTTACCAGTCAAATACAATTTTACATTTGTAGGCATTTTTTAGGACAAATAGTAACAATATTGTGCACTCGCCTTTGACTAAACCCACAGAGAGACGACTTTGGTGCCATTAAGTCAATTTCAAGTCAAGCTGAAAGCGCGCTAACCCCAGCTACGCGAAGCTGCAAGATCCGACCGTGAGTCTAATTTTAATTTGGCCATTATTCTTTCTACTTAAGAACACAAAAACACACAAATTCAAGCAACCGAATCCCTGATCTACGTACAATGAAATATATGTGTACTAGTAGTTCTATGTATTTATGTATCATGGTACGAATATCGTACTAGGTAGAGCCTTAAATCAAATCACCAAATGATAATAAATTCTATGATAATCACCAAACTAGAAATATGTACTTGTAAATAAGCAAAGGGGGCGGTCAACAGGTGTCCAATTTCCAGGTCCTAGTTACTTGCCCCGGGACTAAGCCACATGTATTGGGAAAAATAGAGCAGGTCGCAGTTGTGTACCAGGAGAAAATCCAGGGCAGTACAGCGAACATGACAGTAGCGAGATTCTGCTGCTGCTGTTGCTGTTACTGCGGTGGATGCTGCTCAACAATGGAAATTGTGTCACGGCCAGGAGTATGGGCGTGGACGTGTGGCACTTCAGCATGGGAATGGCTGGGTGGCAACCAGAGCAAAACCGTAACCAGGCCACACTTTAGAGCTAAGCGAGTGCGTTCCCAGTCGCACTATGTACGAGTATGTGTGCCTCTGATAGAGCTTCAGCTTCAGCTTGAAGGGAAGATGTATATCCTGAGAGCTGGCGAACGGAAAACGCAACTGTGTGTAATTGGAGACCGAAAGTGAAAACGCCCAGGCCTTGAAAGACGCTCCTGGCGCTACAAGCGCTGTGGCTGCGACACATTCTTAGAAAGAAAAATGAACTTAAAATTGATTTATTATTGCAGCAGAGCAGAGCAGAGCAAGGCATGCCAGGCCAGGGCAGCAAGCATCGTTCCCAGCATCAAATTAATGCCACTTACAAAAGCATTACGTTCGAATAGAGCTAGAAGCCCCAAGCACCGGGCTGGGTGTTGGTGTTGGGCTGATGCTGGTGCCCGTGCCCGTGCCCGTGCTGTTGGTTGTGGGGGTCCCTTTGTTGAGAGGAAACCAAAACCCACATCGCCATCACAAATTTGTGCTGCATAAACTGATTAAGTGATTTCAGGTTCAGGTTCACGTTCAGATTTTACATGTAGAGGGGCATAAACATCAAACAAACAGCAGCCACAATGCGCCACTGGGAACTGCGAGCTCCAAACTGCCAGCTGACATTGAAAGACGACAATGACTTTGTCGAGGATGTGATTGAGCGACAAAAGTGATGGAAAAGAATGTCCCTCTGGTTATGGCCATGCTGTGTCACAAATGCGAAAATGTTTCTCCATTCCCACACAGAGTTAAAGAAATGGCAATTGCAACAGCAACAAAAAGTATGTCAACTGAGAAAATACTGGCTGCCAAGGCTTAAAAGGTTCTTAAGAACTTATGACTGTGCCTCACGGTCAATAAAGGAACATTGCAACATACATAACAGTGGACAGCAAGCAGCACAGTTGCAGCTTACTGCGCCAGAGGAGTTGACTTGATTTCTGTTGACTTGGAAGTCGATTCTGATGACCAGTTAACACAAGAGACATACTCGAAGTGCTCTTCACAATTGAATTAAAAATTTATTAAAAGCTACAATGTATAGTTCTGCAGAAAAGAATCGATCGGTATATTACGTTTCACATTGATGTGGTGATTTTTGCCAATACTCGCAAAAGTATTTTATAATTATCCATTCTGCATAGAAAAAAGGGAAAACTATAGAAGCTTATTCGCAAATCAATAAGATAACTTCCACTTAAATTTCTCTAACTAGAGCATCACTAGAGCCCATTCCACATACGCCATGTGGCCCTGTGAGAGTCACTTAAAATCAAATTAGGATAATTAAATCGCTTTCGTGCAGTGGGGATATCTTTCAATTTGGGTCACCCATACACTGCCATGGGAAAGCTCCCCCCTCGTGGCCCACCACTATCTATCCGAAGCAGCCCAAGGGACCGAGAGGGGCTGTCGGGGTTCCAGCTGTATCCAGCAGCTGCGTCAAGTGCCTTCCACCGAATCGGGGAGGCTCCTAGGGGCACGGCACCCAGTGCCCCAGAAAGTGCTCCAACAGTACTAAGTACTGTTTATTTACTTGCCGCCCATTTGAATAGTGGCTCAGCGCATTATTACCGATTATCAGGGAGTGGAGCAGATGCTGCCAGTGGCACCCCTGCCACAAACATTTAGAGGAGTGACGCGAGCAAAAATGAAATACAGCCAGAAAGTGCTTCTACTCTGGGTCGACGACAACTTTTGGGATGTGTTTTGGAGTGCGAGCCTGGCCCTAACCTACTGACACATAGAGGGAGATGGGGAAAACGTGTCAGAAAGAGCGAGAGAGAGAGAGAGAGAGAGAGAGGGCCACAAAAAAGAGCTGGAGAGAAAGCATGGAAGATGAGTGAAAGCAGCGTCTCTGCCTGTCATCTGTTGGCGCTGGCGTCGACGTTGGCGCTGGCGTTGGCGGGTTCGTTTGCCGCCATTGGAAACTGAACGCGACGTGTTGTTGCCGTAGGACGTTGAAGGACACCAGAAGCAGCAGAATCAGTATCAGCGGCAGCAGGAGAGGTGCAGGAGCGTGAGCCGAAACGGAACGACACGACACGACGCGACCGGCCCGAACCGACCCGACCGCCTCCATCTGCTGGTGTTGTCCTAGTCCTGGCCGAAAGCTTTCGGCTGTGGTTCGTAGTGGGTCCCCGAGCATCGGGGGCTCGATGCTCGACGGCTCTCGCTAGCCGTCATCAGTCGAGTTTCGGCCGTCTTACTCAGCATAGGTGTGCAGCGGACAATCCACCCATCCACACAGCAGGCAGTGAGAGCAGTAGCAGCACATCCAGCAGCAGCAGCAGCAGCAGCAGCAGCAGCAGCGGCAGCAGACAGAGCTGACAGGAGAGTTCAGACGAATCATACAACAAAAAATAATTAAATTCACACTGAAACGCATACAGATACCAGACACAAACACACACACGCCACCCTGCCTCTGCCGCCTCTGTCACCATAACTTCTACTTCAAGCGAATCTGTATCCGTATCAGTATCTGTGTCTGCAACTGCACCTGCATCGCATAGCATCACAACGCATCGAATCGCATCGCATCGCAATGTGCAACTGCTGGTGACTGTGACTGGGCCTGGCACTGACCAACAATTCAACTGATAGACTCGCTGAGTGACAGGAGACCATCCGTATCCATTACATGCCCATCCAGTGTCGGTTGCACTCCGTGTTTGCTGTCAGTTCGCCGGACACGGATGTGGAGGCCCATTACCATCATCATCAGCAGTCAAAGCAGCCAAAGCAGCCAAAGCAGCCAAAACAGCACGAAAGCAGGCAACAACCGAGTTGCCAAAAAAGCACACAAATTGGAAATCTAATTAGCAATGTTAATGTCAGATCTGTGCTAATTCATTAATTTCGAACGATCAACCGGAGGCATTGTCAGGTTATATATAGAAAAAAGGCGTTTCTCCTCGTATCTTCGATCCACTACAAAATCCAACCAACAACAGCAACAAAAACGAAAAAAACGGCAAAAATTGGAGAGCGAACCCAAAAAAAAATTGCGACCAAAAGGAAAGCGAAAGCAGCAAACACTTTTGTTTCTGTATGCCCGTGACTGTCGGTGGCTTTTTATCTGTATATGTGCCTGTGACTCTGTGAGTGCCTGTGTGCCCGTGCCTGTGTGCTAGTGAATTCTGATAACGCGCGCCTGGTGCTGACATCACTTTCGCTACTACGATTCCATTGAACCAATATCCGACCCCATCATCCCCATTATCATACCCCGACCCGAGAAGCTGCCAATCGAAAGACCACAAAATCAATTAAACTACAACAAAGCTGCCAAGAGCCAATTATACGGAACGGGGAAACGGAAACGAAAGAGAAACGAAACAGAGCGAAAGTAAAGTAAAGTAAGGGAAAGGAAAGGAAAGAATCAAAGATGTTCTCCATGTGCACAAAGGTGAAGTCGGAGAGCGTGGAGCCGGACTGCTCGTTCATGCAGCATCCCCAGCAGATGCAGCTGCAACAGCCTCAGGCAATGGGTAAGTACACACATGACTGCAGGATACAGGTGAAATGGGTGGATATTGGATTAGGGTGTAAGGTGTTGCTGTTGGGAGAAAGTGAAACTGAAACTGAAACCGAAACCTAAACCGATGCTGGGATTCTGGATGCCACAGCCCCAAAAAAGCAGCAGTCGCTGTGGCCTCATTTGGCGGAAAACCCTGAACTCGTTTTTCCTGGCTGCTGCCCTGGCTGCCTGCTGCTTATTTTTCTCAATGAATTTCGCACACAGGCGCAGCTGCGAGACGAGTCTGTCTCCCTCTGCCACAGACTCTCTCACTCTTACTTATATTCCCTACCAGCTCACTCTCTCTTTCTCCGTCTCTCTCTCTCTCTCTCTCTCTGTGCTTGTAAAAGTGGCCTCTCCCATACCCTTCGGACCCATTGTTGACCTGCTCGTTATGGGGCACATACATATGTACACACACAAACCAGGCCACCGCTCCACATATCAAGGGGAATCCGGAATGCGGTTTCATTATGTTGCAGTTGTAGACAGTGCCACGCCCATTGGCCAGTACGTGTATGTGCACTGCATTAAATCATTAAGTATACACCATGGCAACAGCACCACCCCCACCACACAGCATCCAGTATACTGATGTTTGTGTGTATCTGGGAGTGTGCCTGAAATTCCAGCAACGATGACAGCTTGCTTCAGGCTGCAGTTTGCAACGAGCCACATGCATAAATAATGCAACTACTAAAGAGCAGCCCTTCCACACTTTAGCCCCAACCCTAGACCCATCCAAGTACCCCTCCAACCTCTAGCCCACAACTATGTGTGTGTGTCTGCCTGTACAGTGTACACGTTCGCCTTGGTTGTCGTTGCCTTCGTCTTCGTCTGGCTCTTCGTTTAAGCAGTGAACGTTGTCTGTTGCAGCCACTTGCAATTCTAGCTGATTTGTCATATGGATGTGGATGTGCCATGTGCCATGTGCCATGTTCCATGTGCATGTGCATGTGCAATGTGGGCGTGTTTGTGGCTGTGTGCGTGCGCTCAAGTGGCACACATGATGTCCGTTGGCTTCTTATACAAGCGCCACAGTGTCCTTCGGCATGCTTGTTCTCTCGCCCCATCATCACCATCAGTCGACACTACGACTCTATAATCTATCGTTGTCGTCTGCATTTCGGTTCGTGGCTAACTTCGGCGGGCACTGGACTGGGGGCGAGGAGCAGCAGTGAGAGTCCGGTGTGAGGGTCAGTCATGCCAGCGAAGCCCTCGTTTTTTCCCAATGCTGTGTCAGCTCAATCGTAACACCATTCCCAGCCAAAGCGAATTGTCGCCAAGCCACTCGGGTCATAATCAGTTTGCTGCTGAATCAACTTTCTCTAGGGTGTGCGGCCTCAAGTGGTCCAGAGAGCAGCTGATTCACTGCCAAGTATTTTACAAGAGGTTCTTCAAGAGCATTTTTACGTTTCGATGTAGCCAACTGATTGAATTCCAATATAGTTTCAGACAATGCCCCCCATAATTTGCTCTGAAATATTTCCTGCCCAACGTTTCCGTTGCGTTTGAGGTTGGTTTAAATATAATAATAATCGTAGTTCAATTTGCCAATGGTTTGCCTTCAATGCTTTGCTTCTGACTGAGTTTGATTGCAGATTATGGATGGATCGGACACATGAGATTGGATCTGTAATGTAATTTCAGAGTAACCTTAAGCATTTTTGTTAATATAATTAATTCAGTCCACCGCAAGTGTCATGTTGTGCCACACACTGGTGAAAATACTTTTGCATATACATATGTATATGTACTTGCACTTGTCCAAGCAAATGGGATGCCAGTGGTAATGAATTTGAAATGCGAAACCCGACTGGTCAGTCTCAGCGACAGTGGCAGTGACAGCTTCAATGCAACTGCATCTGGGGGGAGGGCAGACCAGCCACACCTGACACCGTCTGATTGAGTTGATTCCTGGGGAATTGCTAAATGAAATTTCGTGTTACGTTTCGTTTCACTTTTCTTGCTTAACCTCTGCTCACTCTGCCCTCCATCTGGTTCCTGTTACAGCTGAAATTTTCAGCACCAGTGGCAAAGGGGTTGGGGTCTACCCCTTGTTTCTCTGCTGTCGATGTGTGGGCGACATAATCTCAGCTTTCAGCTGAAAATCGAACGAATGGGAAATGGATTCCAGCTTCCGTTGCAGGGGCAGCCTCCTGTTCAATTAGGCGCAACCCATGACAGAACACTGGGCAACGGAAGTGGACTAGATGAGCTTAGCTTTGCGTGGCTGCTTGCATATCCTATCCTAGCTATACACATGCCATTTATTTCCTTTTTGTGTCTCTCTCTTTCTCTGTCTTTTTGTGCAGGAACTGGCGGGAAACAGATCAAGGGCGGCTACCTACTGCGCTACAAAAGTAAGTACAACCGAAAAATAATACCAGGGGGAGGTACCTGCTTGGCTGTGGCCTGTGGCTAGGGCATTGCAGTGCCACACAATGAAACAACATGACCCTGAAAGGACCATTTCATGCAAAGATGAGCCGGGTCTCAGACGACCGACCGACCTATTAGCACTGTCAGCAGCCCTAGCCCCAGCCCCAGCCCCAGACCCAGCCCAGACCCAAGCTTAGGTCTCAACAGCTCGGTCGAAAGTCTGTCAACTCAGCACAAACGCTCGCCTGAAAGCTCGACTCGGAATGACGCAGCATCCGCCCGGACCCATAGCCAGATAGATGCCTACAGCCGACACAGAGTATGTGTGGGTAAATGTGGTTGTGGGCATAATCTTTTCGGGGCCACATTCAAGTGTAATTACTCATGATTTGGCAGGGCTGAGGATGCGTCATTGTCAGGCTCGTTAGGGGCAGCATTGAGTATCACGGTGGAGCAATTTGTGCTGAGCTTGGGATACAGATTTGAGGATGATCCGCACTCACGCTAGTTCTCCTGCATTGACAGAGCAAATGTTCTGGAATCGCTGGTCCGAGGAGTGGGTCGTTCTCTACGATGACTCAACCATGGCCTGGTTCACGGAGCCGGGACGTACCTCGCCCTCGGGCAAGATCCTGGTGAAAGAAGCGCCCGAGATGCTGGCCATTGCGCACTGGACTGGCCAGATACCGCGTCGACCGCCACTGCCTGATGGTGTCAACGTGTCCCAGTTGATTGCCCTGGGATCGCAGCGGAAACGGTCCAAGGTCTACTGGATGCTGGCCAAGTCCGAGCAGGAGGTTAGCGACTGGATAGATGCGATTACAAAGACCCTGCCGCCGCCGCCACAAATCGAACTGGTGGTGGACAAGCCGCATCTGATGAACGTGCTGCGACGTCCATTGGTGCGCATTAGACGTGAGTATATATGACTAATCCATTCATAATTCCGTGCGAATCCTCCACCCATACCTGCTGCCACACTGCCCCTTCCTGTCCTGTCCACAGCTGCCACCCAATCGGAGGTGAAGCATCGCAAGGCCGCTGCCCATAGCAGCAGCAGCAGTAAGCATCATCGGTGCACCTCGTCGGCGATGACCACCAGGCTGTACAAACAGATCCAGAATCCACTGGTCAAGAGTGATGCGGCCGTCGCCATTCTCAGCAAGAAGCCGGACTCGAAGGCCTCGCTGGCCTGCGCCCTGCCCTGGGGCCATGGCTGGGGATGGGCCACGCTGCCAAACGGCGTCTGGAGCGGCGGCCTGACATGGTCGCAGTGCGAGGACACCTTCACTCTCCACGCCTTGCCCACCACCCACTGCACCAATCTCATCGACACCTCTTGCAGCGGCGCCGTCTACCACACCGACATTGGTGGCTTTGACTTCCACTCCGGCGGAGTGGACGACATTGGCGGCGAGGACTTTGACTATGCCATGGACTGTGGTGATTTTATATTTTAAACTTCCCACACGCGACCCAAAAACACACACTACCCTCCATACACACTCGTATATTACGTATACGTAATCGTATACTCGTATATCCAAACATCAGAACTTTGCCACTGGAACACTCGCAACTGGTAATCGCTTCGGTAATAATATGTGTGTGTGCGTCCTCTTTGTGTCTTAGATGTTGCTACATAATAGGAATACACAGGCATAGACAGGATACGAAGCCGAATGCGTATCCGGCGGTATTACGTATACGCCTCGTTTGTTGGCCAGTCCGTTTCTGTAACTGTGCGCCCCAGTATGTTAGTTGTTCTATGTCCTGTGTCAGTTTGCTAATCGCGTTAAGCAGCTAAACATGTACCGAGAGTAATGCGAACGTAATGCATTTCCCAAACATAACAAATTCTGCGGAATTTCCCCATTTCATTTGTGGTATAGAGATACAAATATGTGTGAGTGCATTATCCATGTGTCAGACTGCTGGATAAACACATATAAATATGTACTTATGCACATACAGATATGTATGTATGTATAACCACCAACTGCACTTTCGCCCTACCCGAACATTCAACCACCCAACCCAACCCAACCACACTCGGCAATCGCAATCGCAACCGCAAAAGCATTTGAAATGCGAAAATATTTTTGCATCGCGCATATACTCGTACTCGTATTGTATGTAAGTAGGCTACAAAATATTTTTGCACTCCAGGGGCAAACAAATTACAATAAATAATAAATAATGCATGGAAGAGGAGACAGCAAGGAGAGGCAGGCAGGGCAAACAGGATGCAAATGAAAACGAAACTCACACATGAAATACTTTTGGGTATTTGGAAAACTTTTGAAATTTATATTGATGCAATTTGTATGGAAACACTTTTTCAAATTGTTTTGCCATGATTTTCTAGGATTTTTGTAATCAATAGTATTAAACCGAAACACAGATACAGATTTATCCACTACTCCAAACCGAACCGAACCCAACCCAATCCTACATTCGCCATCAGCAGCCAAACCACCCACCAATTCCCCAGGGCAAAACCGTTTTTTGTGTGCAAATTTTTGACAAATTTATACAGTTACTCGTAACGTACGCCGCAAGTACATAATTCGATAAAAACTCAATGGAAAACCAAACAGAGAAAATAGGTAGACAGGCATTTTTATACATATGTATTTATATGTACATAAATACATACCACAGTACATACATATAGGATGTTAAATGAAATTCCATACAGTAAGCAGGAAAACCAGGTAACTAACAAGTAATTAAATATAACGGCACAAAAGTCGCTCTAGATTTAAGCACTCACACACAGTTTCACACCGAACACATCGCTACCACACTGAAAACCCCTGTACCCTGTAGGACTTAAGATGGAATGGCATACGAATCGAATACGAATGTCAGTTAAGTTTACAAAACTAACTCACACACACACAAGAAATCGACATACCCACCCGTACTGATGTAAAGTTTATAAAACAAAACGAAACAACAAAAGACAAGTTAGCAACCCAGGTAAATCACAATGTATTAAGATACCAAAGATAAAGATGCATACGAGTATGTATTGTACGTAATCTGCGTAAGTAGTTAAGGACAAATCACGGAAACTATCATTGTCATTTATTGAGGAAAACCAAACACCAATCTACATACTACATACGAGATGCAGATACAGATACGTTTAAGGCACTCTCGACACACCACCACATCTACTGTTATTCGCATTCTCAACACAATTCATGTTCTCATTCTATGTTGATTAAAGTTTGAATTTTGATTTTGAAGAACTTTAAGAACCATTTTGTGCGCCCATGCGCCTGAATGTGACAAAGAGAAACGCCGCTACGGACACCTTGAATTAACTGTACGTTAGGTATATAGAATGTTAGATTAAGTTGGATGCTCGTTAAGATTGTTAAGATACAAAAATGTCTACTATATATACATACATATACAATATGAATGTGTGTCTATTGTAAGTTTATGCAGATTTTGAAAATATTGCATGCCGCGAACATGCACAAGGATACAATACGCAGTAGAGAAAATTCATTTGTAAATTAAATTACGGGTAAGAGGACAAATGAAAATGCTTGTCCTCTGCGCATCTGTTGCATGTCCTTTGTATGTGCATTCATACATATGTTCATATTGATAGCTATATATTTTTATGTACAACAATAACCAAGAGCAAAGCTACATGCAACGGAAACGGAAACCTTTAAACCTGAGCCTACTACAGCCTTAGCCTTAACAGAACACAGCCCACACATACATATGTACTCGTACACACGCCTAATCGTTGTTATATGTATACATAGATCCGCGCACGTAAGCGTTTGTTTGTATGTTTGTGTATGTGTACAATACCTATAGCTATAGTCGTCGGGAAAACCAACCCAAACACACAACACAACAGAACCGTTCGTTAGGAGTTTAATACGGGGAAAATGAGAGATAACCCACGCAACGCAGCGTAACTTAAAAGTATAAGTAAATGTAGACTAAAAGACTTAAGCAATTGTCGTTTAGACGTTAAATTAGAGCGCATTGAATGTTGGCTTATAGTTCTAGATAAAGAAAAGAAACGAAGCGATTCGAGAGCGATGTGCGGAGCATATACATACACACACACACACATATACACATATACAGATGAATATATTCACAAGAATGTTTTAGTCTGAAGCCTAGTCCGAATAAAATACAAATTGTTAGTGAATGTGAGGTAATACATTTGTAGGTCTACATACATACATATATACATAAATGATAACATACATACATCAATAAGGTTTATAGCAATGGAATGGAATAGAATGAAAGGTTTGAAGTGGACACAAAAATCTATAACTTAATGAAACAAAATGTAAAACAAAAATAGAAGTAAAATCAACCTTGGACAATCACGCATACGCATGTAGGAAAACTGGATTAAATAATGTATGTAAATTGTTAAAGCTTCGATGATGTGTATGTAAATGTATAACACGAAGAAGAACTGGCCAAAGGCAGCCATCACCAATTGGCCTGGTGGCCTGTGGGTAATAAATAGTCTTAGCACGTCCAGAAATGGAGTTGACTCCAGACTCCATGAACTCAACTCTTATCTCGTATACGTACGAATATACTATAAATAATTCGATTGAAGGGTTTGAGCTTCAATTAAGTGTCAATCCCCCACGCTCAGTTCAGTTATCCTACCAAGAAGTATTTTTATAAAGTTTATTGTAAACGATGAGAAACCCAACAACTTGTGTGTGTATTTTAAAACATCAACTGAAATGAAACGCCAAACATGAGTATACTTTAGATGCAAATTTTTGTAGAATAATTGTACACGTAAAATGCATTTCCGATGTTAGCTGAACGAACAGTACATACATACATATATACTTACATATACATACATACATACATACATATATATATTTGTTAATGTAAGCCAAACGAAACATGCATGTGTACTGTAGCCATTTTTATTGTGCTGCGCATTTAGGCAGCCAGCAAGGAGAAGGAGCAGTAGGAATCGGCTGAACTATGAATAGCACCTTAGGTTGCGCTCAAGTGGGGAGTACGAATCGAATTAAAAGAAAGTATGAAACTGTAGAAAAATCGATCCAAGCATTGATCGCAAGTCGTTGTGAATGATCCGTTAGATATGAGGATGGAGGAAAACACATAGAAAGAGAGCACAAGGGGCGGCGGGTTTGTCCCCTGCTCACATATACCCGTAACTTACAATTAGGCTAGTAAGTTCGTCGTTTGTTGCCAATTGTCAGTTGTCAGTGTCGTTGATGTTGATGTTGAAGTTGATGTTGATGTTGCCGTGTCATTGTTAAATGTATTCCCATTTGTAATCCGCACTGGAGCTTGCTCGCAGTTTGCGGTAATTGCAGTTTGTCGTCGGAGAATAGAAGAATAAAGCCAGCGGGAAGGTTCTTAGTGACTTAAGCAGCAGCCGACTATACAAATGATACAAGAGAGCATACATGCACATACATATACAAAAACATTACATAGGTGTGCATATTATATACATTTTCCCCACATAAACAAATCTGCATTGGCGTAGAGAAAATAATCAACAGAACAGAAATTGAACCCAAACAGAAAGTAACCCAATCGAAATAAGAAAGAGAGATATCCGCACCATGAATGTAACAAATGTTAAAGTTTTAGGCGTAGGCCGAAAGACCTGCCAAAGGCTCCTGCAAAGTCCCACCCAGGCGTCAAATTTCCTTCTTCCTGCTATCTTTCCAAACATGTCCCTGTCTTCCCCTGAACTTTGGCAAAGGTCGCTCTCGAAACGTAATTAGAGAAGTAAATGTGTAATTCTATTGATGTGTATCGTATGTATATGTGTCTATAAATATTTGGTAGACGTTCACGTTCACTCGCATGACGCCGCAAAAAGCTCAAGCCAGAAAGAGATCTGCTCAAAACGAGCCCCCAGTCCCATTCCTTTGTTTGGTGCAGGTTCACCACATTCCAGCAATCTAAACCAATCCATGAAGAAACTATAGTTTCTTCAAGAACCAATCCAAATCCAAATCCAATCCAACCGAAGAGCAAGTGCAGCAGAAAACTTTTGGCAGACGAACAAAAAAAAGAGAGAGGCTGGTGGCTGAAGAGAAGAAGAGAGCGAGCGTGGGCCCGAAAGTCTGTTGAAAAAAATCACGAACGACAAAGAAGAAGAAACGAACGCTCTTATATGGTTTCAAGACCGCACAGCAAAACGAAAATGTATAAACATTTATGATTGTACTATTACGAAAACAATGAGCAAATAGACGCTAAGAAAACAGCAAAAGAAGTCATCCACTGAATCAGGCCCGAGGCGATTGCCGAACCTGGAATACCCTCACAATCAAACAGAATAAAAACCGTATTGTATGTCCATAAGTATTTTCCGAATGAAATGTTTCCAAATTGTCACATGCCCATCGCAAAACTTTGTAAGAATTTTGTACCAATTCATTTTCTAGCCAATTGCAAAAATCCATGAAGGCTTTGATTAATAATGGTTTCGGCAATCGCTTAAACACAGAGACCACAAAGAGGTCTATAAATACACCTTACGATGGGGGTTTGATTCGATGACTTCAGGCAGGCAGGCAAATGATTAAATAAAGAAGAGCTTGATGGAGAGATGGAGTGGCGGATAACATCTGCGAAGCGAAGCGTCAGCGTTGATAAATGTAAAACGAAAACAACAAAAGCAAATAAAGATTAGCAACAACATCTGAGAGAACGAAACAACAGCAATTGAGCGAAAATTACATGTATCTCTTCGTGTGTGCTGTGCTGCGAATCACGCACACACGTACACACGTACATGCATGTGTTTGTTGGTCTTATTGGGGGGACTGGGGACTGGCTGGCTGGGCAGTAGGAGTGTGGTATGCGGATTGCAACTGGGGGATGGGGGAAGTTAGCGCCGACACGACACACCATCATCGCTGTATAGATCAGTTGGCGTTGCAACGCTCCCCTCGATGTCGCCAACTTCGCAACTTGTTCGGGCCGGGCCTGTCTGTCTGGCCATCGGAATTGAAATCGGATTCGGATTCGGACTCGGAATCTTGTCTCAGTTAGCGCGCAAACTTCTAAGCAAACAGTCGAGTCAAGCCGAGTCGAGCCGGTGAGCGAGCAAGGCACCTCTTTAAAATTCAAATTGACGTGAGTGGGCCAACGAGGCGACATACGCGTAATTACTGCCATTTACCCTAGCCACTGTTCGTCCTATCCTACCCTAGCCTGTCCTGTCGCCGGTGACCCACTTCTCGAGGTCTGGCTCTAAACTTTATTTGTCGCTAGAGGGCCCCCTGCCCATCGCTGGTGTGTCAACAAACTCGCGTGCCTTCTGTCGAACCCAACAGGACTGTTCACCAGTGGCCAAGAGAGTGCAGGCACTTCTCTCAGTCCCTCGCACACTTACGGCTGGTAAGTAAGCATTTCGTCTATAACTGGAAGACTGTATGCAAATCGCAGCTCCGAACACACAGACAGAGCAAGCAAAGACGAGAGTTGAAATTAGTCAGCAAGAGACGACGTGTGCCAAAAAGCAGAAATATACATAAATTAATTGTGAACGAAGTGTTAGAGGGAAACAGCATACATATGTATGCATGTGGGAGGCAATGGTGACGGGCATTAATACCCTGAAATGAGATGCAAAGCATTCACAATATAATCTTTAAATATCACTTGTGGGCCGGGTCTATTCCATATTATTTAGGATGCCCCACCTAGCTGGCTTTTCTCGACAGGTTTTGGATTTAAATATTATCATTCAATAATTATAGAAAGGTATTTTGTGCTAAATTTCAAATGTTAAAGCTATCTTCTTTGAGCTATTTTTGGTTGAATCTTTTGAATTAGTTTTAATCATTCATTAGAGTTCACTCGTTTTTGGTGAGCATTTCGCTTCGAATTCAATTCGATTAAATTGGAGTGTTCATTGGACGAGCCATATTCGGTGTGGCCATCGGCCCACAATTGTAAGTCTGAGCTGGGCCTGGGTCTGGGATTGGGACTGGGTCTGGTCGCCCACGCAGTGCAATATCAACGATCTGTGGGACTGTTTGCACCCTGTTTCCATTCACGCCTCCTGCCGACATTTATTGCCGATCATAATTTTCCAATATTGTTTTTGTATTTGCAGGCAGATCGACGACATCGCATGACTCATCGGACTGAGCGGTCTAAGCCGGGTCTACGTTCAAGCGGCTTACTCTCGTCATCGCCTTGTCTGTTGCCCACTCACCACCGGTCGAATCGCATCGAATCAATCTCGTAGACTCCGTCCCCCGACTGATCCCGACTATATTTGGCTATGTCGTCAAACGGTTCCGGAGACGTTCGACCCTCAAAGCTGGGCGATATGCGGGTAAGAATTAATGATAGACAAACCTCGTCACAGGAAGTCTGATGGTCTGCATCCCCATCGTGGCCAGTTCTGATAGGTCATTTGCTGTCATAGTTAGCCAACCATTTTGGTAATGCTCACATCAGCAGCCAGATCTTTCCGTTCAATTTCCGTGACGACTCCAAAATTGGTGCGAGCTGTGTGTTTGGTGGAGTTATGTTCTCTTCTGTTCTCTCGCTGAAGTTTCCCAGCGAAAAGCCAGCCAATTAATTTAGTGCTTTTGCCATATTTGGGAATGGGTGCTCTTGTCACGACACAAAAGGCTGGCGTTCAATGCCATCTGTTGATAACATCCATGGGGGGGGCGTAGGCGACATTAGAAAATCCGAGAAGAGGAATTTGTCCCCGTCCTTCAAGCCCTTCAATAACTATAAAGGGTTGACATTAAACACACTCAGCCACATAAACAGCATGGGACAAACAAACCATCAATCAATCAAATAATTTACCTTGGAAAATTGGTCGCGCGCGATTTTAATCGCTGATTGGAACGGTGCCCCCTGGGAGGTAGAGTCCTTTGTCAGCTTCGCTGAGCTGAGCGCTTCCTTTGTTGCATTCAACAAATGTCGAGCTAGTATGCTTTCTCTCGCTCTCCCATTTAATGTATGCATGTGTGTGTACCTGTGTGTGCCCGCGTGTCCGTGCCCGTGTCTGCCATATGAGCCATGGCAACGTCTGGTGGCCGTTGCAGCCATTGATTTTTTGTTGTTGCTATTGGCATGCAGCAACACCATGCACAACAACAACGAGGAGGAGTGGAGGCGCACGCTAAACAAAAGGACATCAGGCTAGGATTTCTCAAGTGTCCGATACACAAAAGACTCTCTCTATTATTCGCCCACGACGATACCTTTGACGATTGGCAGCAGCGGCAGATGGCCATGGTCGGACTCGAAGGCCACTACAACCAGGAAACAAGAGGAGCACAGCAACAGCTTTAGCTTGAGGGAAATTCGAGTAGGAGACGGAGGAAGAGAGCATGCACCCCAGCACAACCCCCAGCGCTGGCAACTATTTTGGCGCACCAGCGACGGATAAAGTTACCTTTGCCCAGGCGGGTCGTGTGGCAAGGGGTTTTATGTACTGGCGGCACGTAAGTGAGCACGGATTTGTACCAAGTGGAAAGTGGGAAGTGGGAAGGAGTGGTGACCGCGCAATAGACAGGCAAACAACCCACACAAGACACAAACACACCCACAAGCTTACACATGTGCAACTAATGACTCCACTCGGGGGAAACGGACGTGCTAATGTCCAGCTCAGTTGACACGCGCCCGTTGGCCGAGCATGTTGCAAGCGGAGGAAGACGAAGATATATCCTTCTTCGGCAGCGGACTTGAGTTGGAGTCGGAGTACTTGCAGGATCATATATTGCCGCTCAAGCTCAATGAATCTTGGGCGGCCCGCCGATTAATGGAGGCGCTGAGTCATCTGCCACCCAGCGATGGCAATGGCATTGGCAACAGCGATTCGGTACCCGTAAGACCACCACCAAAGGGGACATCCAATAAAAGGATAATTGCTCCAGCCCACAACTGAAGCTCTCTTCTGAATTCTCCTTCCAGATGCGCTTTCAGAAGGCAGAGGAGGAGCGTCGCCGAAACCTATTGACGGGTAGGACTGGTGGCCCTGGCACTGGTCTAGCTACTGGTGCTCCAAGCTCTGTTTCGTCAAGGCTCGTCGGCAATGGCAAGGTACGCCAAATGTTCGATGAACGGCGTCGCGGAGCTGGAATCGATCGAAGTAATCCACTTAAGCCCATTGGTGGTGCCACCACACCGCCGGCACAGCCCGCGCGCCAGCAGCAGACAGTTCAAAGGCTCATCAAAGATGTCTCCGCCATGAGCCTAAAGGACAAGGCAGTCTTCAACAGACGCTTGACCAGTGATAGCAACAACAACAAATACAGTCCGGCGGGCACTGTGAATCGCTTAAAGCCTGTGATTACGAGAAAAACACCACCGCGTGAAGGGGAGGCAGCCAGTCGTGCCATTGCTCCCGCTCCGCGGAGTCCCTTGCCAAAAGCAGCGGCTAGAGCCAAGGCCCCGACAAGTCGTGGGGCAGCAACTGGCGGTGCAACTCCAGCCGCAAGTAGTCGCTTGTCGCCTCCACTGAACCGAAAGGTGAGTATCATCATCCCACATTGCCTTTATTTTCCCAACAAAAACATATTCATGTCGTTCAACTGATTCCATGTTAATCCGGTTTAGGTCGAAGCAAAATCTCCAGTCCCCAAGAAAACAATGGTGAGTCGTGGTGCCAGTTGCTGCAATGGTCGTATGCTAATCCCACCATTATTTGACAGAGTCAGCCGCCTCCTGAGGGTACGTCCGCCTGCCGATATTGCGGTCGCCACTTCAACACCGATCGATTGGGCAAGCACGAGGATGTTTGCCAGCGCACCATGACCACCAAGCGCAAGATTTTCGATGCCTCCAAGCAGCGTGTGGGAGGCACCGAGGCGGAGAAGTTCGTCGGCAGGAAGGGCAATAAGGCAGCCCGCTCACAGACGACGTACAGCAGTGCCGCCCAAGTCAAGGGCCTCGTCACGGGCGTAAAGAAAAGCAACTGGCGCAAGAAGCACGAGGAGTTCATACAGACGATCAGATCTGCGAAGCAGGCCCAGGCGCATGTGGCTCGCGGCGGCAAGCTGAGCGACCTGCCACCGCCGCCACCATCGGAGAATCCGGACTATATTCAGTGTCCCCACTGCGGCAGACGCTTCAACCAAACGGCTGCGGAGCGGCATATACCGAAATGTGCCACCATGATACACAACAAACCGCGTCAGAACGCACCCAATCCCTTGAACAAGCGCTGACCCAGTGGTGTGTTCGATCATGAACATGCCCATACGTTTACTTGTGATAAAGCAATTTTTGATGAATGAAACGATGCCAGACTTAACTTTAAGCGAGCTGCGGGTACGTTGGGTGGCCCTAGTCGGATAACACTTCGACATCGTTGTCATCTTCGAGCTGCGGCTGCACAACAGTGGCAGTCGATGCGGCAGATCCAGATGATTTTTCACGTTCGATAATGGCCTTTACGGCATCGGCTGCCTGGTTCATCTCCAGGCCCTCAAGCATGTAGGCCCAGTTTTCTAGCGTGGCATCGTCATCCTCTGAGATCCAAGTGCACAGCATTTTCGAGCAGGCCACACTGGCGGTGGGATGCTCCATTTGATAGAAGAGAAGTTCGTCATTGGTAAATCCTATCTTTTTGCCCACCTTCATCCAGGGCTCTCCAATCAGCGGTGCTACCTCATCGATGTGCTTGGCGGTCACCATCAATGACTTCTCATGGCCTGGGTCCTCTTCCACTTCCTCAACAACGGGATCTGTGTCTTCCACCTCGAGATCCTGTTCTGGCTCTGCTTCCTGCAGCGCCATGGCCGCCTCCTGCTCACTCTCCGCGGGTGTACTTTTCGCAGCCAGACCGTTGTTCTGCTCTGATGCATTGCTGGATACCGTGGTTGTTGGCTTCGGCTCCCTATCGCGTATGAGACGCTTGCGCACTTGCTCCAAATAGTCGGAAATCTTGCTAGACGGTTGCGAGGGCGATGTGAAGAAATGGGGAGTTTGCCGGGCAAGCAAACGCAGTGCACGCCACTCGAAGGCTGGATCGATCTTGTCGTGGGGCGATTCCAAATACGTTTCTAGCAGGGGCAGGAAGTTGCGCTGCTCACTTTTGCAAGCCTGTAAGTTGTCCGGCGAGTAGTTCCACAAACGTGTCAGGTTTTCGCTAAGGAAGATATTCCCAGATTACAATTCCGGAGACGCAATGAAGCGGAATGTACGTACTTGCCAAGGAAAAACTTGCCATTACGAGCAGCGTCGCGCAGGGAGTCGCCGAGTGGACGCTTTGGCCGTTTGGCGGGAGGGGGTTTGTTTTCCTCCTCATTTGAGGGAAGGTCCTCCGGCTTCTTGAACTCTTTGCAGCCCTCGTTCTTCCAGTTGTTCCACATCTCCTCGCGTTGCAGCATATGCCAAACTGTGCGGGCAAAGCGCTTGCCATATGGTGGGGTCTCCTCCAGAAGTTTGCGCACACGAAGCTCTGTGTCCTTTATGAAATCAGCTTGTTCGGCTGTTAGAGTGTACGCGTCGCTGCAACAAGATACTCAAATTATTCCTGTTTATTTAAGTTTCGCTGAAGCCTCTCACTTACGTTTTAAACTTGACGCTAACTTGAAGATACTGAAATAGTATAAGGAACTGCACCAGTACGGCACGCCGGAAGTTCGAATCGGAGAGCTGGAGTGCCAGCAGCTTGGGATTGGTTAGAAACTTGGCAAAAAAGTGATTTGCCTTGCTCACGGTAGATGCCACTGCGGCATCAACAACAGCATCGTCTACATCCATCGCCTGGTCCGCTTCGCTGTTGTCGTTGCTGCACGGACGCACGTCCTCCAGCTTGAAGCTCGCAAAAGACTGAAGTATGTTCTCCGCGTGCTGCAAAGGATAACCATAAGTAATAAGAGCCATTCGAACCATCACATTGAACGTCTCCTACCATGTGAAACATCTTCCACTGTGCTTTGCCGTAGCACTGATTGGGATTACGAAAAAAGTCCTGAAGAGACCAAAACTTGCAATACAGATCATAATCTATCTTGAGGGGGATATCCTCGGCAGTGTCCTCAAGCTCTTTATTGTCAGTGTCATCGTGATCCTTACTATCCAGTCCATACTCTGTCAAATTGTCCAAATTGAACTCGGAAACAATGTTCAAGCCAGACCGCTCGGAGAACGGAAAGAACTTTGAGAGGAAGAGCAAAATGCGACCGCAGAAGACTGTGTTCTGTGTACGGGACAGGCGGCGCAGCAGATCGTTGCACATTCGCAATATGTTATTTTTGCAAGAGGCAAAGAATATCTCCTCCTTCCAAACATCCACCAGCTCCTCCACAAACTTAAAAATCTCCTGACATCTGTCCAGAGTGACTACATCGAATGTGTCGATGAGGAGCACTACGGGAATAGTGTTGGACACGATTTCGGCCCGAGTGGCTTCCACCGAGAGACGCACTAGATCACCGATTTGCTTCACGTCGTCGTTCAGACGCTTCATGAGGAGCACTCGAAATGCATGGTCCATCGGCAGACGTTTGTCGTGCTCGGAGTTGGCTGAGTAGCTGTTGTACTCCTTGACCAGCATCTCCACGCTGCTTTCCTCGACGGCCTTTTCCAAAGCATTCTGTAAATATTTGCGATTTGTATATTGCCGGTGTCGCTGTTCGGCATCTTTTTCGATTCCTCACCTCAAACGCTGTTTGGAGCGCAAAGTAATTAACTGATTTCGCCGGAGGCTTGACGGGCACTTCTGTCGTCGTGCTCATTTTTTCTTTCCAAAATTACTACGATTTACAATTCAGAAAGAAAATAAAAATTATTCACAATAATTACGATTTACATTCGTGTGACAGCTGTTTATCGATAAGATATACCGCACGACCCTCACAAATATACCGAAATATACCTTTCATTTTCAAAACATCCCGTACAAATTAAATAATTTTTCTCGATTTTGATTTTCTATTTAATATTACTAGCAAGCTAGGATGCTCAGCCCTAAAACTATAGTTTTATCTGATTCATCAATAAATTATCCACAAGATTGGCTTGTTTTCATAATTTATTTGTATTGGATTGATTGCAAAATAGGGTTCAAACAGGAAATCTCAAGCAAACAAAAATGTTCCAAATTTCGTTGAGTTCTGCAACAATTTAAAAAAACAAATTTTTCGTTCAGCTAGCCCAATGATCCTAACAGGAATTCCTATATACCTAAGGGTAATTCCAAGCTATGAAGGCGCTGAAGATGCTGCGCCTGCAATGTTGAATTGCTTATGCCATGGCCGTGGATGGTTTCCTGTCGGTCGCGCCGCGCTCTTTCTGTTATCAGTATCATTGGCAATCAAAACTGTCCGTGGCACACACTCGTCATTTCCCATTTAGAGCAAGGTTGCAGAATTCTCATAAGTAGGGCAAACATTTATTGAACCCCAATGTTATTCAGACTCAAACTTAATCTCAAGCCGTGTAGCCGCACATATGAAAACCATGCGCAGTTCTGGTTATATCAGTGTTATTCTGTTGTGGTTTGCTTTGGGCACTGCTTACGAAGGAACAGTTTTCGGCCAGTTATACGAAGGTGGCGGCTACTACTATACACCATCCCAGCTGCCTTATCCTGGTTACCGTGGTGCCAACTATAGGCAAACGCAAGGACAAAGGCCGCAGCAACATCAGAGGTCGTATAAGGATATCTGCCGGTTGGTCAATACAAATGGATTCACAAATCCAGGCGGAGTGCCCAGGTGTCCGTACTAGCAAACGAGTTGATTTATAAAAAGGAATTTACATTTTCGTTTTGCAAATTGTACTAAGATAAATAAAGTAAGAGCAAATAGCGCTTAACTAGGTTCCTAAAATTGGGTTCATAGCTTTAGAGGCGCCATGCCCTGTCTGACCTGCTGTTTACATGAACTATTCCCTAAACGACAAAGCGAAATTCTTAAGCTACACACCAAATAGTAATCCTAAAACAGACGCTTCTGTACAATGTAAAAGACACAAACAAGGAACAAACAAAATGCAAAGAACACCAGCATCTTGTCAGTGCACTCGCGTCTACCGTACTTTTTCAACAGCTTTCCGGACATTTTGATGCTGCCGGCTGTGTGCTGCAGCTCGTCGCTTGTTGCCTCCACATTCTGAGACGACGCCACCAGGGTCTCTAGCGTGACGGCACTCTTTTGTGTGGTCTCCGACAGATGCCGCGAAATGGCCAGCATTTTCTCGGTTACATCGTTCTCCTGCGACACCAGACTCCCCTGGTTGTGGCGTGCTCTCGCTGTGGTGCGTTGTCGCAACTCACTCTCGCCAGTGATGGCCATCAGCTCCTCTCGATTGGCTTTCTCGATCTCCAGCATAGTCGCCACATTTGCCTTGCGGAATGCCTGCAAGGTTTTGGAGAATTGATCCCTGTGTGTGTCCACCTCCTTTGCCAAGGAAGTGTCGGCCATGTCCCGTGCCCAATCATCCAAGCGCTCGATGTTCTTGCGAATAGCCGACAGCTTTGCCCGTCCAGCTTCATTCAGCTCCTCAAGCTCGCCAATAGTTGTTCTACTGTTCACTATGTCCTATAATATTTAGTTTGGATGTTAGACTTTCCGGGCGGTTTCTCTGGTCAGTGTTTTCGTTCACTACTCACCTGTATAATTGCCTTGGCTTGCAAATTGTTGTCAATGAGGTCTTGCCGAATGGACTGCAGCGTGAATTTATCCTTGTCCATTGCCTCGGCTCAAGCAATTTTAATTTATAATTTGTATATTTATTTTGTTATGGTGACGTGCCGCCGTCAGAAACGTTGGGTGTAATCCAGCACTAGTTCTGTGGCGGGAGTCGGTATTTTGTGTTGGTTGTGTGATTTTTTAGTAGTATTTTGAAAATAAGAAGCTTGATTTTGGTGTATTTTTAAGGGTCGACTTATCGATAAATCCGCGGTCACACCGCTAAAAAGTAAATTGCTAAAATTAAAAAAACTTCAAAACCAAGCTGCAAACTTCAATTTCTAGTGCAAAAAGATCTTGCTGTTCTGAAAGCGCGAATGCATTGCCTGTTTTAAGTCATGGCCAACTCTTCACGGTCTTTTTCGGTAAGATATTACCCTTGTTTGTCCACATTACACCCTTTATAAGAATTTTCTGTGTGTTCAGTAGAATTTTTCAAATCGTTGCCTTACGATTGACTTGTCATTAGATGGAATCGAAGTTTACGGATCCGGCTCAATCGAAATCAACACGACCTTCAACGGGGGCCATTCTAATGATAGCGAGAGCTCCTCAACAAGCTTCAGTTCCCTCAGCATCAGCAACAGCAACAGCACAAGCTCTACCTCAACAACCGGGTTTTCTAGCTCCGTGTCTAGCATAAACACCACTGGTAATATCTCGGAGGACTCCGATATGAACAGTGTGGGATATAGTGCGAGCGTCGATGATGACGAATCTGACCGAGATGCTGGCCTTTCGCTCGACGACTCTGGCCGAGATGCCGGCCTTTCGCTCGACGACTCCAGACTGAACTCACGGTCCATCGATATTTCCCAGGTGGAAGCTGAAATAGATCGCAGTATGTTTAAGACATATTGGCCTCATTGCAAGGGACTAATCTTTCTGTTTTCAGTAAATCGCTACTGTGAGCAAATAGGCGCCAACAGCGGCAATGAGACCAGTGTCTCAAACACCTCGACACCGACTGTGGTCCGCCGTGTTTTTCGTTCAAACTGTAAGCCAACCATTCTGCTCACTGTGACGGTCCTGTGACGGGCAGCAATTATTATATTTATGCCTTTCTTTAATAGCGCCAGTGGAGGTAATAGATTTACTGAACGTGGACAATTCAATTCCTAGAGCTGCCATTGGACGATCCATCAATCGTGTACCTGAAGCGGTGATTGACTTGTGTACTCCGGACAGATCAATCGTACCAACAGCTACCATTGATTTGGATGACTCCGATTTTGTGCCCACTAATCGGCGTCGTAACCATGCTAGCTCCAGTACTCCCACTACAGCTCGTGCTACGTTGAATATCGATGACAGCGCTCCGTCGAGTCCGAAGCGCAAGCGTAACGAACAAAACGTGTCTTCAAATGAAGATGTCTACAAGTGTCCCGTTTGTTTGGAATGCGTGCGCCACCGCGAGCCAGTGTCGACTAAATGTGGCCACGTTTTTTGTCGCCCATGCATCGAAACAGCCATACGCACCACCCACAAGTGCCCAATGTGTAACAAAAAACTAACCATACGCCAGACAACACGTATTTACTTGTAATTCTTTTTATTTTCTCAATATGCCAACCATGCTCTGCGAGTCATCTGAACTGGGCATCTTCCTAAATTTGTATTGTTTAGTTTAAGCTCCGAAAGCTTTTATGTTATGTTACGGCCACGAAATGTTTACTGTTGTGATTTTATCATGCGCGAATTTAAGTTATTTTGTATTCCATAATAATTAGAGTTACTCCTGAATATTCAAAATTCGCTGCGTTGTAACTTATGGGATCCAGAATAATGCGGAATACACGACGGAAATTTACAACCAACTAGTAGCAGTAGGGCCAATATTTCATTTGAGCTTACCGCCTTTCTAGAGATGACAAAAGTACAAAAGAATTGTCATTCTGACAAAGACTCGCCGCCATTGTTTATTCGCCAAAGCGGCGAGCTTTTGTCATAGTAAACTTTTGCTAGTTCTTATCTTCAGCTCTAGGTGGCGCCGCTCAAATTAAAACCAAGGACAGAGAAATAAAGAGTGAAAGTTGGAGATAGAATACAGATAGGATCGAGGATAATATAATTAACATATTATAGGTAATAACAAACAACACTATGCATCTGTCTATCCGTGCCATTTGACGTTGCAGATGTATGCGTGCGTGATGATGAGCACTCTTGAATTGGGTCGGATTGTTGGTTCTTTGAATTCCTCATTAAACCCATTAAAAAAACCCACAGCAGACGGGCTTCTGTTAAATGTAATACGATTACGAACTTTATTTTCATCAAAAATATACAAGTTAATTGATTTACACTGAAGTATATGAAAATATAATTTTAAATGGGACTTAAGACTAATTTGTGAAGCTTCTTGTTACATTTTCTGGGTGCGTTGAAGTGGAAAATTGTTATTGCTTTGAGGTCATAGGACGATTATCAATAAAAGCAATATCGAAATCAAATAAATCTCATATAGCCAGTAAAAGTGTCGGGAGGCTGGGAATTTAAAGGCGCTGTACGAATTCAAAACCAATTTTATGAATTTGTATCTCTGGCACGTAATCTTTATGATGAAATCGAGCTTGCAATGCTCTGAAATTAAATCGTACTTTGTCTCGAGGGGGACCATCATGCCAAGGGACAATTCGAAAAGATTTGATCAGATAATGGCCGACTTAATTGCACGGAACTTGCCGAAATAACGGGTAATGTGGGGACTGGTACTGTACCTCACCACAAAAATTTCACCATGAGCCAACATCCAACCCTAAGAGCAACCCCAAGATAGTATATCTGGTTCTTTGGGGGTTGTGGGGTCTGTTTCTGCAATAAAATTACATATGAGGGCATAGGAATTTTGCTTACGCATCGATTGGCTTGGCATCTAACTTCAATAACCCACGATTGTGAAGCATTACCCAACCATCAATCGACTTTCAAAAATATCAACTAATTCAGCTTAAAGCGCTCACTCGGAAGCCGGAGCACATAAAAGCCTCGGACTCTGACCCTTGTGTCGCCATGCTTATTGTCTGAATGAGGGTTCAAAGTTGTTGCCTTTGGCAAAATCAAAAAATAAATATATTTAATTTTTATTAAAATTAAAATGCCTAATCAGAATTGGGCAACCGGTTGGGTTGCGGTTTTCCCTTTGGGGTGTTCCTACCCCAAGGACCTTGTTGGCCACGTCAACGTACACAAAGTTTCCCTGTGTGTACAAGTTGGGAACTGCCGAAATAGGTAGATACTCCATACCGCTTAGAGGTCACGTGTATTGGGTCAGGTTGTAAAACGTGAACTTCAACCCGAAATCATTATTTTCGATGAGAATATAGACATTCAGATGGAAATGCGTTTTTAATTGAGTTTGAATTCCAGTAATTATATACATGTTATCGCTTAAAGGCATCAAACCATAGAACTATTAGGTTGCTTTATTAGCTTCATGTTCGAAAGATAATCCATGGGAAAGTCATTATGTCCTCTTCAGGAGATCCTCTATGAACGAAAAACTTACATTTGTATCCGCGGTGGGGCTCGTGCTCATGCCAAAGTACCACCGTAAAGCCAGCATGTAATCGCCCGTTGGAAAGGGTAGACCCATTACCTCAGGCCTCAGATAAAACCCCTCCACTATTTGAGAGCCCTGGGAAGGAGTTAGCAGAATAAAGTTGTATATCAGATTTAAAGTTTCAGGAACATACCACATAAGGACATGAATGATTAACGTTGGTAAAATCTTTAAAGAGTCCATAGACCATTTTCATGATTGGGTCGTACCGGGTCTTTATAAAACGACAGGCGTCAATATTCCTGTCCATCAGCCATGGCTTCAACCCGTTTGCTTTTTTGAAAAGCTTAAAATGAATTTTTACACTATTGGCCGGATAGACGACAGTGGCATTCATATTGAGGATTACTTTACTTCGGCTGACTGCCTTCAGGCGACAGTTCTGCCATATTACCCAGGATTTATTGTGGCTCTCGCAGACGACGTTCGTGAACCTAAAGACGGTTGCGTTCTGGAAACTAGTTCTATTAATTTTCACTTGATTTTAAATATATATATATATGTATATTTACGTTAACTTTTACGTTTAGTATCATGAATATTCCGATACAAGCGCCGAGTATTTTTTCGAACCGCATTCTGCTCTGGATTGAACACATGTGAAATAGATCAAATTATATATACAAACTATTTCCGTATGAACTCATTAAATTCTGTCATTATATTAGTATTATATTACACTTGGCATGGCATTTTGATAATTATTTTAGTTGTGCACAAACCTCTGCGTATTTGTTTAACGAATTTTCATTTTAGGAGATTTTCTTAAATTGTCAAACTTGTTTAATTAAACTTAAGTTAATTACATCCAAATGTAGAAACTACGAAAGAATAGGTAACAATTTCAACATTTCTAAGTCATCTGATTAATTCGAGGGTGTAAATGTTTCTGCAATAAAATTAAATACATATGAGGGCATATTAATTTTGCTTACGCATCGATTGCCTTGGCATCTAACTTCAATAAGGCTACCCACGACTGGGGAGCATTCTCCAACCATTAAACGCCCAACTACGATATGACCTGACCCTTGCGTTGCCATGCTTATTGTCTCAATGAGGGTTCAAAGTTGTTGCCTTTGGCAAAATCAAAAATATATATATTTCATTTTTATTAAAATTAAAATGCCTACTCAGGATTGGGCAACCGGTTGGGTTGCGGTTTTCCCTTTGGGGTGTTCCTACCCCAAGGACCTTGTTGGCCACGTCAACGTACACAAAGTTTCCCTGTGTGTACAAGTTGGGAACTGCCGAAATAGGTAGATACTCCATACCGCTTAGAGGTCACGTGTATTGGGTCAGGTTGTAAAACGTGAACTTCAACCCGAAATCATTATTTTCGATGAGAATATAGACATTCAGATGGAAATGCGTTTTTAATTTGTTCCAGTAATTATATACATGTTATCGCTTAAAGGCATCAAACCATAGAATTATTAGGTTGCTTTATTAGCTTCATGTTCGAAAGATAATCCATGGGAAAGTCATTATGTGCTCTTCAGGAGATCCTCTACGAACGAAAAACTTACATTTGTATCCGTGGTGGGGCTCGCGCTCATGCCAAGGTACCACCTTAGAGCCAGCATATAATCGCCCGTTGGAAAGGGTAGATTCAAGATCTCAGGCCTCAGATAAAACCCCTCCACTATTTGAGAGCCCTGGGAAGGAGTTAGCAGAATAAAGTTGTATATCAGATTTAAAATTTCTGGAACATACCACATAAGGACATGAATGATTAACGTTGGTGAAATCTTCAAAGAGTCCATAGATTATTCTCATAATTGGGTCGTGTCGGCTCTTTATAAAACGACAGGCGTCAATATTCCTGTCCATCAGCCAAGGCTTAAACCCGTTTGCTTTTTTGAAAAGCTTAATATGAATTTTTACACTATTAGCCGGATAAAAGACCGAAGCATTCATATTGAGGATTACTTTACTTCGGCTGACTGCCTTCAGGCGACAGTTCTGCCATATTACCCAGGATTTATTGTAGCTCTCGCAGACGACGTTCGTGAACCTAAAGACGATTGCGTTCTGAAAACTTGTTCTATTAATTTGCACTTGATTTTAAATATATACATATATATTTACGTTAACGTTTAGGTTCAGTATTATAAATATTCCGATAGAAGCGCCGAGCATTTGTTGGGACCGCATCCTGCTCTTGATTGAAAACCAACATGTGAAATAGATCAAACTATATATACAAATTATCTCCATATGGAGAAATCATTAAATTCTGTCATTATATTCATATTATATAACACTTGGCAATGCATTTTCCTAATTACTTAATTTGTGCACAATTCTCTGCGTTTTTGTTTTACGAATTTTCATTTTAGGAGATTTTTTTCTTTCTTTCTCCATTTCGCCGTTGTGGTCCTCTTCCCCCCCCAATCGATTTCCTTCGAATTCAACAACACTTTACTAAGTTTATATTATAAATACATTATAAATAATTCGATGAAAGTATGACTAATTATAACTTAAGTAGTTCGTGCTCAAATCTATTTCCGCATGATGGAGTCATTAAATTGACCTGCACAGGTCTTGGTACACTTGATTTTGGAAATACATATTGGAATTTTAGTTGATCGAATACAAATAAAAATACATCAATTTGAAAAGTTTGAAAACCAGGGACTATCGAATCTATTATTTGCTCGTGAGGAGGTCTTCTACAAAGGAAAAACTCACATTTGTATCTATTTCATTTCTTCCAAACATCCAATGCAGAGCCAGCAGGTAATCGCCCGTTGGCAGGAGGAGACCCAGTAGTTCAGGTCTCAGATAAAAGTCCTTTACAATTTGATGTCCCTGGAAAATAATTATACAACATAAAGAGTGAATATATAAAGAATAATCGTTTTAGAAACTTACCACATACGGACATGTATGATTTACGTTGGAAAAATCATGAAAGAGTCCATAGACTATTTTGAAATATGGATCATAGCCGGTTCGCATAAAGCGACAGAGATCCAATGTTCTGTCAACTGTCCAGGGTTTATAGCCGCTTGCCTTCTTGAACAGCCTGCAATGAAACGTAATTCTGGCGGCCGAGTGCAATATAGTCGCATTCATATTGAGGATCACTTTATTTCGATTGACCGCCTTCAGGCGACAGTAATTAAACACTATAAACGACTTGTTGTAGCTCTCACAGACAAAGTTCGTGAACCGAAAGACGATTGCCTCCTGAAAATGTATCTTATTAAGATTTAATTTTCGTTTAAATATAATTTATCATAGCCATTACTTACGTTAGCGTTTAGGTGCACTAATAGAACAAATCCGATAAAAGAACAGATTATAATTATGCACCGCATTGTTCCCGCTCTTGTTTGGGAATAACTTTTAAAAGAGTCGAACGTGATCCCTTATGCCAAGCAATTTTCCGCATGGACGAGCTATTTAATTGCTAACTACATATTAATGTACTTTCATTAAACAGAAAGCATAAATCACTGCCAAATTATATTTACGCAGACTCGATAGTTATAATAAAAAAAAGAAAGAATTTGAGAACGGCAACAACTGTGTTAATTTTATATTAGCTATTCTGGAGGTCCTTTACGAACGGAAAACTGATATTCCCCTTAACAATTTGAGGTACCTGCAAAGTAATTAATCACAATAAAGAATATTTTGAACTTATTATGGAACACCGCTACAGATTGAATGTACAATACGAACGCAGCTCAAAGTAAGGGGTTGAATTGTATTTATATGTTTGGGGGGTTCCGGTTTCCCTCAACTGTTGGTACAAATGCATGTGTGTGTGGGGAGCAAAGGGAGTACTCAGCAGCCCTTATAGTCCCTTGCATGAATTATGGAAAATACCCTAACTCAGAATTTAACCATATTACTTTAATAGCAGCGCCCTTGGAGCAGTGCATGAAATGTTAATCCTTTTAAGTGAGACCAGCGATGGGCATCATCGTGGTGGGGACATCGCAGACATTGGAAAATCATTTAATCTTTTTATTGAATTGATTCCCATCTCGGTTTTTTGACAATCGAAGGGATTTCTGGAGACGTACTCGCATCTGTTTGGCGGACATACATATAATTTTAAATGGCCTTTGTGTGCGCATGCAAATAAATAGACATGGGCTGTGGGCCTGTCATAACAATTCCAATAACAAGTAAAGTCTGTCTGTAGGTCTGTCTGGACTGCGGCTTATTTATGAGCTTAGGAAATTGAATTGAATTATTCAGAGAGCGACAAAAAAGGAGACGGGACCCAAATGCACATGGCGATTGTATCAGTGTCAGCGCTGGAGCATCAGTGAAATGGATTGGCAAGAGAGTTTCCTTCCATTTCTATTTAAAATGTCCCCGAACAGATACTCTCTGCCTCTTCCATCCTTTTGGAGCACAAATTGAAGTTAAATGGATTTTATCTGATTCTTTTGGGCGGCTGGGGAGATCAACTAAACCAATCAACTAAATAATGGAAAACATTTTGTAAAATGCCTAAAAACCACACAAATGTAGCGGCTGTGGTGCGACTGTCTGGTTTGGTTGACGCCACACGCACCATGGAGCATAATAAATCCAATTCGTAACTAGACTAGATCCCCAAACAAATTTACAAGGGGTTGATATATTAAAATTAACACCTAGGGGCATCGGTGGTGGGACGCAGGAATGCTAAACCTATGGCATTTCGGTGGTTGAATGAAGTACGGCAGGAGCATTCCTGTCGCCTTTAGTCCTGTGGCGCTGTTGATGATTGGTTGTGGCTGTGGGAAACCTTTCTTGCTGGTAGCTTTTGACATTTACTTTTATTTTATTTATTCTTTTCGCTGTAGATTTTCATCCGATACAAATGAAAATGGAAACTTGAGTATAAGTATCATACTATTACATTTTCTTTTGTTTTTGTTTTAAATTACATAATATTAAACTAGATGTTTGCCAAAGATGTTCCTCTTTTCCTGTTTCCTTCATTTAGTTCTTTCTTTGCTTGCTGGACTACTTTCGCCTGTCCTGTCTGTTTACCCCTCAATTGTCTAGTTTTGTGGCTTATGCGCTCAACACGTGAATAAAAGCGTTTCAATGGGATGCAGAGCTTTGAACAAAAAATGAAATTAGCAAGTGTTCCAGGAGCGGGATGGAGAGAGGGAGAGAACGAACACCTTGAAAATGCAACGATAGTGCGGCAAGTACATACGTACGTATAAAGATTCACTAAACCGAACCACACATAAATTATAGTATTAAATTAGGGGACTGCACCTGCAGCTGGGTTGCAACGATTATATGTACGGGGTGCTTGTGTATTTGTGTGGGGTATGGGGGAACAATGTGCTGCATTCTGGTGAACATCGAAAAATTGAAATTAATATTGTTTGTTTGCTGTTTGCTTGTGGAAATGGGTTGAGTTTTTGTTGAAATTGTTCTTGATTTCTGTTCTGTTTTGCTGTAGATCCGATTTACTCCTTGCGCACTGCACGCTTGCGTGTAGATTTTGTGGTGGGTTCCTGTTAAAAAAAAGGTGCAACTGATTCCCAATTCAATTTACTTTAATGAATGTAGAAGACTCACCTCAGTCTGTGCGGGCTCATCCGAACCCTCCGCCTCCTCCGGCTTTGTCTCAACATTATCCTCTAAATCAGACTTTTTATTCTTCTTGGGACTAGCGGACAGCGGCGTGCTTTCCTTACTGGAATCGCCAGCAGCTCTCTCAGACGAAGGATCACTCTCCTCCTCCTCTTCGGGTGCATCATCGGGCTGTGGTGCATCGGTTTTCTTTGCCTGAGCAGCAGCTCGTTTGGCAGCGTCCTTTAAACCCAAAGATTAGTATTAGAAATCAATAAGTAAAGAAAATAAATAACAAAAACAAGCAACTTTACCTCTTTTTTAGCGGCACCAAATCTACACCAAATGGTGATGAATACGAATAGTACGACAAAGACTACCATGATAAGGCCCGCGACCACGGGATTTGTCTTGGCAAGATCGACTACCTTATTCACGAATGAGTCCTACAAAATCGAAATGGCAAATAGCAATAGCAATAGCAATAATCGTGCAGATGTGCAAAGGCAATGAATGAATGTGTTTTAAGTAGCGTGTGGCGTGTGTGTCTGAGTAAAGACGCAGCGCCAACCTCTTTGGCGCGACGGTACAGATAGAAGATATAACAGCTGGCCGGAATCAGCAGGTACAGGAAGTACAGGGCCCACCATCCAGGCTTGTAGTTCATGCGACGCATCAGGCGATGCCACAGGGTTTTCTTTCCGTTTGCGAATAGAGGCATTCGATTAGAAAATCATTCGATTTCTCTGTGTGTGTGTGTTGTGTGCGTGTGTGTGGGTGGAGAAGGCGTGGCAGTTAACTTACCGATTCACGATCAATGTAGCGACGCTTGATATCAAAGCTCATGGCAGCAAAATCACGGGCCACCGCCACATCATCGGTGACGATCAGATTGTCGAAGAGAATATCACTAGACATGGACCACAGCTCCAGACCAACAGCGCTCTACGACGGTACGGGAAAAGTAAGCGTGTGATTAAATTGGTTAAGACAGAGATAATCCAAGCCACTTACAATCGGAGTCATGCGGAAGGGCTTCAGATCTTCAAAGAAGTCGGGGTTGGCAATCTTGCGTGGAGACCATTTGCCCTGGTAGTTGGGATTGTCAATGCTCGGTGCACGCCACTTGCCCTTGTAGTTGGGATTTTGGATCAGCGGAGCCTTCCACTTGCCACAGCCAACGGCCTTCTCACAGACGGGATTGTCCACCAGCGGTGCCTCCCACTCGCCATCGATTTCGGCATCCCAATCGTCGGGCTTGCTGGCTGTGGGATCGAATATCATGTCGGGTTCATCCTCCAGCCAGTCCTCGGGCATGACAGCATCGGGGTCGGGCAGCTGGGGTGGTGCATCCTCATCCCAATCGCTTGGCTTCGATGCTGTCGGATCTGGTATCTTCTCGCGCTCATCCCACGACTCTGGCTTGTGGTCATTCGGGTCATCGATCTGTGCTGGAGGATTAACGGGCGGCTTAAAGTCAGTCAGAAGGGAGCCCTCGTTGACGATTTTGTGATCCACACGAATCTCGAAGCTGTTGTCGGGATGCACGACCAGCTGATACAAATGGGGGAGCTTATCCTTGAAGAGATCGTCCAGGCGGTTCCTGCAAGCGCAGAGAAAGTACAAGTGAATGACCGATTGACCGAGCGACCGAATGATGCCAGCAGCTGTTCCGCATGCCGTGGGGGTAAAAATAGATAGAAAGACCCCAGTGTCGCCGCGCCGGCTTATCTACCAGCAGCAGCAGCAGCAGCAGCAAATGAACCCCCAGAAAACACACACACACACACACACACTTGGGACTTGGACTTACTTTGGTTTGTTGCAATGCTTCTCGGTGATGGTGCCGTTAATTGGATTAACGTGACGGAATATGAAATGCAGTTTCACATCGTTCCCGCACTTGTCCGGCCCGAACATGATGGTGTAGGGTGTCTTGTCATTGAACTACAAAGCAAGTAGCACAGAAAATATGACGCATTTTCGGGGGTTTCCCGCGCACGTGGGTGGGGGTCACTTACCGCTTTGAGATCTTCCGTTTCCTTGCCAGCGGACAGAAGCTTGATGTACGAGCCGCCACAATCTTGACCCTCCTGCAAAAGCGAAACCGAGAAATTGGGTCAAAGAATGGGATTTGAGGTTTGGGGGAGGAACAGTAGTAACAAGTATTAATTGGATTTGTCCAGCCTTCGGCTTACTCGGCTGATGCAATCCGAACATAGACAATGCATATCTCTAGACTCTAGTATGGACGCACCTGCAGCGTGACCTCATATTGCACCACCAGCGGTTTTTCTGTCTTAAAATCGAACTGCTTGCGGAGGCGCGCCGAAATGGCAGCGTGCTTTGCCTTCGATTTGAGAACCAGTCCCTTATCCTTTGCCCAGACAATGCGCTGCGGCGACTCCCAGCTCCAAATGCCATCGTATTTGGAGATCTCCTCGGCAATGTCGTCCTTCTTGGCCTGTGAGTGTACCCACAGCTTGCTTGACTCATCAACATTATCGAAATGATCGGCGAAGTGGAACTTCTTGGGCTCGATCACAGGGCTCTCGTAGACTAGCTCCTCATCGGCACCGACAGCCTCCTCCTGCATGAAAAGACACGTTGGTGTTAGATAAGTGAAGTTGCGATAAAAAAAACATACGACCACGCGGTCGCGTAAATGTTGACACACTTCCCAGCGACAGATAATGGGAGAGGGAGGGTTTGCATAAGTTGTGCGTGAGGTTTTCCTCTGGTGTTTTGGGAAAATGGCAGATGAATGTTAATGAAGGGCCATAAACAGCGGATGGGCTGGCCAGCCCCCTCCTCTTTAAACATTCTAGACGCTTCGGTCACTGACGTGTACTTTTCTCACCGGCTACCCCCGCCGGTCCACACATTTGTGCGATATCACCGCTCTCACCTGAACATCTTCGACTTGGCCATCCTCAAAGTCGTCGGCATCGACACCAAACTCCACATCGGCTGTCACGGACAGCAGTATGTTGCAGGCCAGCAGCAACGCCAGCGCTGCGATGCTCCCCCCGAGTTTCCACTGCATTTTCCTTCCCGATTAGCGGCTGCTGCTGTTGGTTTTCTGTTTCAACCACCTCCCCGGCACGGCACTCGTTTGTGGGAACGGAAAAACAATTACTCTACTGTTTTTCGTTGTGCTGTGCTGCTTGCGTTGCTTTTCACCAATTTCCTCAAACTGCGGGCGCTGTGGAAAAACGAGAATCGAAATCTAGCTCGACGAACTAATTGAAATTAAGCTAAATTAAATTATACTTTTGCTTCTTTCTCGCCTACTTGGACCGCTTTATCGATAAAATATACCGCCTGCCCTCACAAATATACCGAAATATACCGAAGAAAAAACTGACTTAACCCTCTAAGTCCCCCTCTGTTTAAACACTCGACCAACTTCAATTAAACTGCCGAACATAGTACTGTCTACGAATCCTTCCACTAAACTCGTCCCTTTTATTTACTTAGAAAACAAAAAAACCTTCAACACTTTACACCTAAACTGTGCTACAATTCTTCTCGCTATATATTGTACGTGGGATTTCTTAAATAACCCCTGGCCGACGAAGGGCTAACGTTATTTTCTGTTGGTGAGAATTGATATTACTCGATTTTGATATTCGATTTGATATTACTAGCTTGCTTTGTTTACCAACTCTTCGCAGATAATTTTTTCCAATAGATGAATACATTTGCTAGAAGACTGACCTAATTCGAGGTCTCTTTTGTATTGGATTGCTAAGAAAATTATGTTAAAGTAAAACACCTTGAGTCAAATTTAAATATCAGTGTATCGGAAAAAATGGCAAAAATTGATAGGAATGGTCGACATATTTGACACCATACTATTGAGTTGTTTGAAATGCAAATATGCGGGCGCTTATACTGTTTTAGGTACAACAGGAAAGTTAAACGATTAGCTACAAAATGCATTCATTTAGACTCTTTAATATTCTGAACTTTCATAAAGTGTTCCTTGTTGGCGCATCGATTTGTCTTGCCATTTCCACTACGCTTTAGATCCTCTACAATGATGACTCCAGCGCTCAACTGCCTATACTTGGCGGTAATATGTTGGTTTACAAAGTCCACAACATCCTGGGAGACCAGTTTGCTGTCTTGCCTCTTCACTACACAGGCAGCTGCCTCATCACCATTGATTGTATCCCAAATGCCAAATACACAGACCTCGGCCACGTTAGGCATGCGGGCGATGACTGTCTCTATTTCGTTGGGATAATACATGAGATTTTGACACTTGAGCATGTCCTTCTTGCGATCTTCTATAAATAGGAAGCCATCTTGATCCATGTAGCCCAAATCTCCGGTGTGAAACCACATCTCAGAGTCGAGAATCTTCCGGGTCTCTTCTGGATTGCCATAATAGCCAGACCAATGCCGACCATTGAATAGGCATACTTCCCCAACTACATTCGGGCCCAGAGCCACGCCCTGTTCATTAATTATCTTGACCTTGGTGCCGGGGGCTGGGCGTCCAGAAGAGTTGGGTTTCTCATCAAAGTGAAGGTTCATGGTGCCCGGGCTGCTCAGCTCTGATATGGTATAGGTAAAGATCAGGGCTCCCTTGATTCGGCTACGGACACGTTTCTGAACTTCCAGGGAGCAGTGGGAGCCTCCAAAAACAAGAACCTCTATGCTCGACAGGTCAGCGTCTTCGAACCCTGGATAGTTCGCCAAAATTGCCAGGTGGGAAGAACATTCAATTACAACCCCGATCTTGTACTCTTTTATCATGCGACACATGAAGCCAGGATCGAAATCATTGTGAGCTATAATACTTGTTTTGTTGAATGCTCCAGCGTGGATGATGGACATGAGACCCGAGTTCCAGTCCAGGGTGCTGTATGCGTGTTGCACATTGGAATCCAGGCGGCTGTGAAAAAATGCAATGTTTCATAATCATCTCTTACAAAGAGATTCAAAGAGATACTTACAAGGCGGGAGATAGAACCTGTTGACTATTTGCAATCGTGACTGCTTTTGGTATGCCCGTCGTTCCGGAGGAGCAGAGAATGGCCAAAGTCTGCTTTGGCTCCAGGCTGGAGGGCTGAAAGTTCTCCTCTATAGGTGTGGTTAAGACATCCTGAATCCGCACGGATCTAGCCAACGGGTGATTCCGCATGGTAATAATTGTGGTATCCAGTTTGAGTTTTTCGGTAGCGGCCAGAAGTCTCTCGAATTCATCTCCATCGCAGACGATTAGACGTGGTCTGGTGATGCCGAACAGCGTTTCAATAGTCTCCTGCTCATAGGCTACGTTGAGAGAGTGGAACGGTATGCCATTGAAGAAACAAGCGTATGCCACAGCCACCATGTGTGTGGTGTTTCTGGCTATGATGCCTACAATATCCGATTTCTTCAGGCCAAGTCTTCGCATATAGCTCGCCACTCGCATGGCATTCAAACGTAACTCCTCCCTGGTCAGCACTGTCTTCTCTGTGGCTGAGATCTAGATTATCTTCCTGAGATTATAACTCTCTTGTAATGAGATTTAGCTTACTTGGGCAATCAGCTTAGGATGGCTTTCCATCTCCCTGTAAATGATCTCCCCAATGGAAAGGTGCGATGGAAAGTAGTCTGATCTTTCGCCTCCACTCCACACCCTGAGAGTGTCATCGTAGTGGATTTCAGGCTTGTACTGCATTATGCGATCCATCAGTACTTGTATGTTTCATTAACTGCTGGTTATTCGTGGCTGTTGGCTTCCTTTTATAGAAGCGAGCCCACTGATATTCCTTTGGGGCATACCAACGATAAGCAAGGCAACAAACGATAAGAATAAACAGCGTTGATATACTCAAACAATAATTTGACTCTGGAAATAAAGCCATTTAAATGTATGCCTATGTTTTAAGGTTTATAACTTTTCTTTATAATATGTATTACCTGAAATCGGTGTGACGAGTGTAATGACTTTTAGACGTCGTAAATGCCTGTCCCGCAAAGTTTCGAGTCAATCACAGTCAATACACTTACATATGTACATTGAGCATATGTGTATGTATTTTTGTTCAATCCGAATCCGATATCGGTCATAAAGTCTTGCAACAGTTTTACAGTCGATGGACATGTGGACAAACTGTGTGTTTGGTCATATGAATGTTTTTATGTACTTTCTAATGTGTTTAATGCATTTGGGGTTTTTGTATAGGTTCGTAGAGTTCGTATAGTTAATTAATGAATGAAGAACATAAATTAGAATTAAAGTAGTCAAAAAAGTTGAGCTTCTATTTAGTGTTTGTAATACTCGTCGATGCAAACGACGTACTTATTTAGTACCACTTCCAAATGTTCACACATCTCTCGTATATCTCTGCAATGATACTCATGTATCACCGATAGAATGAATTCTTTTCCTCCCCACATTACTGAACCAATATATTGCAGCATATCAGATTTAAATAAAATAAAAACTTACTACTACCCGCATTAAAAGTGTTCTTGCATGTTGGCAATTATTTTAAAAGCTCGCCGACTCAATTAATGCTCTGTCATGGAAGTTGCTAAGCCCCGCAATAAACTTGATGGCAACCGAGCGGCCAGGAAGGGTTGGGTTCGGTTCGGTTAGCAAAAGTTTACCATCACAATAAAGTGGTATGCATTTGAGCATAAAATTATAATAAAAAGTCCAGGCTTATTGAGTGCGTCTGTGTGTGAGTGTCATCCGCCCATTGGCGGCTGCCTTTAAATGTGGCAACTTATCTGCGGCACTCGCATCTATACCATACCATCGGTGCCACAACTGACAGTTTCTGTTGTTCTTACAACAAACATTTGTTTGCAACTGCATACAAAAAGCTTTCTGTTTAATGGAATATTTAACACAATTTAAAAAGTTATTTTCTTTTTTTTCTAAAGAAAAACACAGACTCGGAAGCACACACACACGCGTGTCAAGAGGACTGAGGGAGTGGGTTGGTTGCAGTAGCCCGAGAAGAGAGAACTTTCGCGGAGCCTTGGACGTGCCGCAGGGCTGAAGAGAAAACTAAACTACTGCACAAAACACAAACACACACATTTCTTTTTTGTATGGAAATTATGTAATGACAGTTAATGAGGCTACTACATAAACAGGCTCGAAAACAACATACCCACACCCAGTCTCCAACCCGTACCACACCACCGTTCTGCACCTGCACCTGTGCATAATCATCTGGCTGGAGCTGTGGGGCCCAGTGTTGTCAAGTGTTCTATTAGCTCAAGTAACAACAACGAGGGCAGCTTACCAACACTTGTGCTGAATTTTTGTGCTGATGCTGTTTGCGATGCACCAGGAAAGGAACCAGAAAAAATTAAGCTAACCAAAGGATACGCCAGGTAGCAAAAGTAAGCTTCGCAAGTCGAAGATACACACACCCTTGTACATTCATCGTTCTATCCTAACTGATTTTGAATAATATATCATACAGTGTGGTTGAGCGTAAAAAGATAAAGCTGAAGAAACGTTTGCTTTGACAGAATCTCTACCAGTCTGTGGAATGATCAAGGATCCCTCTAGCTACATTGGTCATGAATCGGCATGAATGCTGCATCCTCTTTCCCTGCACAATTACCAGGTGTCAACCAAATACTCAACCTATAAAGAAAGTATGCGCCAAAGAGTACGTCTCCCATGGTGCTCCTCTTGTCTACATGAATTGCTCAAAAAACATACTTAACACTAGGAACACACGCACACACACACACACACACACGCACAGTACATGTAAAGTCTCGCCCATTAATGGTGTGGTATGTGAAGGATACAGGTGTACGGGTGACGGGACGTCAATGTTGATGGCATACCAAAAAAGTTTTGTTCTAAGCTTTTGGACAGCACCGGCAAAATCTCAAACATTTTCACCAGCAAGCGAATAGCAGAGGGAAGAAATGGGAGGGGACTAGAAGTTGGACGAGTAGGAGGCGCAGAAGGAGGAGGCAAGGTAAACACCAACAAGGGGGAGATGTATGTGTGTGAGAGGGGGGAGAGAGAGAGAGTATCAAAACATATGAAGGAAGCGCCGCTACAAGCGCACGAGTTCAACTTAGTGTGTACTTAACTTCCGTTACATGGCCGCTCACTCACACTTACGCAACACCAGCACATACATGTACCCTTTCACACGCATGGACACACTCACTCACACACAGACACACTTTCGCTTGCATATGTATATGTTTGTTTGTTTATGCCAAAAGTGTTGTAAAGTGCGGCGCTTTGTCGGCAGGAAACGCTGAAAATTTATTACCGGACAATTTTGCCAGGGGATAAAAAAGAGCCGACTGCGGGTGGGGTAGGAGGCTATAAGCCCAGCAATGGGTGCGGTGAGGGGAGCTAGTGGTATACCCACATACTCAAGCACACACTCGCACACATGCATATGCATAGTTTGCCGGCCGTAAGTGTATGCAAACATGCCTAAAAAAAAGTATGTGGAACCGGGCGTAGCGTAGCGTCGGGAGAGAAGGGGCTGGGAGAATGGTTCTATGTGAGCAGGCGGGGCTATTTTCCATTAAAAATTCAAAATGCCCGACGCCCGGCAATGGCCGAGGAGACGCCTGGCTGCCATTAACACCCCCATCCCCGACGGTGTCTGTCTCTGTTCTCTCTGTGTGTGTGTTGCGGTGGTGGCAGGGGGTTCCTCTTCTGAGTCCCTTTTCTCTCTTTTGGCCTTTCAACACCTCATTTTCTCACCTTTCAAAGGTGTTCTGTGTTCTCTATGTGCCCCGTCTCTGTGCTCTGTGTGCCATGCCCAAGAATTTGCTCCGGCGCGCCGTTAAAACTGAATTGATTTGTTATTCATGTTTTCTGACTTATGGCGAACACTTTTGGCTCTGCGCCTACCATTCAATTGACGTGGCCCTGGCGCCCGTCTTTATTTTATTTATGTCTGTATGTGGGTGTGGAGGATGTGTGGGGGGAATGTGTGTGTGTTTTTTTTCTTCTTCTGAAAATAGTGAAAATTTAATGCAGGCAGTGCGCGCTTCAATTCAGGAACGGTTCTGCGTAGAAATCAGAAACAGGGCCACAAAAAATGGAGAGCAAAGTTTTGTCAGTCACGCGCTAAAGACTGTAAACGATCTGTGATTAAATCTAAATAGATTTCCGGGGGTATTTGTGGACCATTCCTCTACCCTTTCCATAGAGAACCGCTCCTGATTTTACCTGTAATGGCAATGTAAGGACGCGGGCGTTCTGGTTTTACTCAAGCTGCTGGCGTGGCTTTTATATTTATTAAATTGCCGCAAGGGGAGCATTTAGTGCATGTTTTAAAATACAAAAAAAAAAAAGTGAAACAGAAAGGAAAGAAAGCATTGCAGGCATGGATACAACAAATCTTTCTATACCCTTTGCAAAAAGAGAGTTGCTGATGTTTCACACGAAGTTCAAATAAATATATCAAGAGCTTACGATGCATTCCTTTACCATTCTACGTCCAGAATGTGGTGTGATTTCGCTCATTTAAGGGTATGCGAGATGCATGCAGGGTAAGGGGAGTAGGTGCCACGTTCAAAAGTGGCCAATGGGGCAGGTAATGAGAACGAGGGTTTTGCTCGAATGAATTAACATTTTAAATTTATTTATTTCCCTTTTGGTTGGGGGAAAAGAAAGCCATTTTAATTAAGCAGCGGTTGGAGATGTGCATAAGAATACAAGTGTATAATTGCAGTTTAAATGCATTAAGAAAAAAGCTGTTCAAATTATGGGATTCATTCAGGGACTCGAAAGGGATTCTCGTAGATTGGAGTGGTCGTTCAGCTAATTCGGAATGTATTCAGACTTCAGGCCATCAAGTACCATTCATAATCATTTGAACATTGAACTTTTCAGGGAATTAAAGCCGCATTCTTTCGGCTAAATGTTTCATTTACTTTTGGGAGACTTTTACCCAAAACAAACAAACTAATTTGCATTCTATATACTCATAGTACCTTTACCTGTCCCTTTTCACTTTTTGCGGGTTAACAATTCTTTTTCTGAGCTGGGGCCACAAAATCCCTAAATTTTAATCACCTCAGTTGACAAGTCAAGACAAATAAAAGCGGTTCGCATCACTCCTTTTGTGTGGATTTCTCGGGCGTGAAACGACCCACCAGCTACTTCGAAACAGGGTCCATAGCCCCTGGGCTTCATTGTTGTTTCATTGTGTGGGGCAGGGTGGATTGGTGCAAAAGAATAAATCAAGGCATAGGCGAAAATATTTAAATTTAAATGTTTCAAAGAGTACGCAAAAGGGGAGCAGGAGTGGAGAAGCTCTTCTGGCGGGTGGCAGTCACTTTCATTATTGGAAATATAAATCACTTTCATTTGCCAGGAAAACAAAACCGACCAGAAACCCACAAATACCCCTTTGAGGTGCACTCAAAAAAATAAATACTTATATATATGTATACATTACGTAAATCCTCTTAATTTTTCAAATATCCAATGATATTCCAAATTTGTATTGAATAAAATTATCGCGGGGGCTTTTAATATTCTTTTGATATCCAAAATAAAACGAAGTCCCAAATCATTTAACCATTCCATTTCTCATTTTCCAACTTCTAAAAATAAATTGATTTGTAGATGATTTCTCTTGCTCGGTGCGGTGTAAGTTAGCTTAAGCGCTAGTTGTTTGTTCTTCTTTCTCTGGCCTTGTTTTTGTTCATTCCATCTACTTGCTTTCACCTCTTCGTCCCATTCTC